ACCGGTAGGGTGGTCCACGCGGTGGGAAAGCTTGCCAGACAGCGCTCTCATTGGTAAGCTATCTGGTTTTAGCTGATTAGACTCCAACAGTTACCCCAACGCACAGTCTGGGGTCCCCAAGCCTTAGCTCTTGCCAACCTACGCCTAATACCCTCCGAATTAGGTAAGCAGGATGCATCCACAACAACAACAACAAGATTCCATTTATAAAGCGCCTTTCACGTCAGGAGGACGTCCCAAGGCGCTGCACAGTTGGGTCAGGACCCGAGCAGGGGGAAATGGTCAGGGTGAGGGGAGGGAAGGGAGGGAGCGAGGAGGGGGGAAATGGTCAGGGTGAGGGGAGGGAAGGGAGGGAGCGAGGAGGGGGAAGAGAGTCGAGAGGGGAGCTGAAGGCTCGGTCTCTCCAGGGAGAGAGTGCGAATTCCATTCCAATAAATATCTGGTGGGATACATGGGATTCTCAGTTTGGTTTGGATACTCCAAACATGGTGATGGGTTTCTGCATGTGTCACACACCTGGCTGACAAAACAAATGTTGCTTATTCCACTCTAATGCTTCTCCTCCCGGTCTTCAGACAGAGTGGGAAAATGTGCGGAACGCCTTAGCTATAAAAACAACAACAATAATAACCCTCGCATTTGATACAATAGCGCCTTTCACATCAGGAGGGCATCTCAAAGTACATCACGGGGTTTACTGTAAAGTGGAGAGACTGTTTTGTAGGTGGAAGATTGTGTTTAATTCTGTCACCTGCTGCTTCCTTCAGCGCGTTGCAATGTAATGAAAACTCTGAAACCATGGAGCAAAATCTCTGCACCTCAATGCCTTTGTCACACTCCCACACACACACAAACACACTCTCTAACACACACCTACGCACTCACACGCTCCACAGATACTACTCAAAAAGAGAAGGGAGTTTCTCCCTCCCAGTGTCCTGGTCAGCAGTCGTCTAAATAAAATTGGTCATTCATGGCTGTGAGCACTGCTGTATGCAATTTGGCTGCCACTTTCACCACAAAACACAGTCATACTTTACAGAGTATCCTGTGAAGATCCTGTAGCGTATTGGCTAGAGCACTCTCTCACAAGCGAGAGGACCCAGGTTCAATTCTCAGGCAGGGCAAAACCTTACGCAGGTTTCCTTACTCTACGGAGGTAGCAATCCTTTCAAAAACAAACAAAAAAACTGTGGTCACTCAATTCACAATTGTTTGTGGGTCACTGCTGTGCCCAATTGGCTGCTGCACAAAATATACAGTACAATTCATTTTACAGAATATTCTGTGAAGCGCTTTAAGATGTCTCAACAAAGTGATAGGCACTATATCAAATACAAGGATTATTATTGTTACGATCACGCAATGCAAAGACACAAGACTCCGCTTAACACACATCCTTCCAGGACTCAATACAACCCTGAACACATTCAGACTTCTTTCATTTCTGCTCTAAATGAGGTAGAATAGCTTCCTAAGGGCCTGAGTGGGCACTGCACCATTCGCTCGTGACTTTATTTTTGTAAATCACCCATTTCTCCCAGCATGAAAAACAACTGGAGCAAAATCACAAGATAAACAGAGTGAATCAAGTCAAACTTTGGGGATGGAAAGAAAGGAAAACATTTTGCTTTAACCTTGGGAACGGTAGTGTTCAAACAGTCAGCACCGACCCCCATGTGCAGTCTGACTGTTCCCCCGAGTAAATACAGCTAATTGAAAGCCAAAGGTTGCAAATTAAACGTCTTTACCCTGTCGCAACCCCCCTCCCAGCCCAATCACCCCACTAAATACATTCAGGGTATAATCGAGCGGAAATTTCAGAACTCAAGTAATAATAACAATAATCCTTGCATTTGATATAGCACCTTCTCACGTTGTTGAGATGTCTCAAAGTGCTTCACAGGATATATTGTAAAGTTGATTGACTGTATATGTGAGCGAAACGTGGCAGCCAATTGCGCACAGTAGTGTCCCGCAAACAGTTGTGGATTTAGTGACCAATGTTTTTTGGGGGGGGAGGGATTATTACCCCCGGAAAGCATTCAACTAACAACCGGGTTCGGGTTCCTACTTACTAAGAGGTAAACAGACGTGTGCAGTGATGGAATATGCCTAGGGTTTCGCTTCGCCGGGAATTGGACCCAGGTCCTCTCGCTTGAGAGCCGAGCGCGTGAACCACTATGCTGTGGGAATCTAACAATTACAGAGTGAGAGAATATGGCCCAATCCAGGGAGGAGACATCTATAAATTCAGTAGAGAGTTATTTAGAGAACAGTTTATTGTTAACTTGTTTTGTATATTAAAAATTTTTTGGAGGGGCCAGTCAGGTGCAGGTAGGGGATTGGTGCTGACTGTTTGAGCACTGCAGTTCCCAAGGTTTTTCACTCCTCTGGGTCACAAGGTCTCTGGGTTCAAACCTCATGTCAAGGCTAGGACTATGCTGATCCTTCAGAGCAGGGCGGGGGGAGACATTAAAGAAAGTACATATGTGCGCCCATGTGGGTGGACGTTAAAGATCCCGTGACACAAACTGAAAAGAGAACGGAGTTTCTCTCTCTCCCACCCCTCGTGTCCTGGCCAACAATTCTCCACATTGATCAGTTATTGATCAAGGCTGCGTGTGAGGCCTTGCTCTGGCCATAATGCCTGCTGCGTTAATGTACAACAGCACTTGGCAGTGTAATTGCTGCAAAGCTCTTAAGCATTTCGACCGTGATAACATGCTATAAAAATACAACTTTCCTTTCTACCTACCAGGTTGAGTGGCCCTTTATTTACGGGGGGGGGGGGGGGTGGGGGGTGGAATCTTGGAGAAAAAGGTTGAAGCTTGCCAACTATTTGAAAAGAGATGGGAGGAAATTGGGTCATTTGGTTCATGGCTGTTTTGTGACGTTGCTGTGCACAAATTGGCTGCCGCGCTCGGCTACAAAACATACATTCACTTAATCTCACAACAAATCCTGTGAAATGCTTTGAGACGTTTTTCCGATGTGATAAGGTGCCATACCAAATGCAAGGATTAGTATTATTAACTAGGCAAGTTACCACAGCAAATCTTTAGCACATCCCAGAATTAGAAAGTTATGAAAGAAGCAGGTAAATGGTTCTAAATCACCTCTAAGCTGAAAGGTTCTTCAGTAGAATCTTACAATAAAATATACAATATATATGTTGTGAGGAGTCAGGTAAAAAGAGAAAGAGGAGGCTGGGGTCTTGTCGTGCAGGAATGGGAGGGATGTTTAAGATCCCAGTCTTTGCTCCCTCTTTAACCAATACATAACCCTAAAGGGTAGGGTGGTCCTAGCTGGACAAGCAGCGAGGAATCTTGCCAGACTGCGCTCAGTGGCAAACTATGCGGTTTTAGCTGGTTAGACTCCAGCACACTCTGGTGTCCCAAAGCCTTGACCTAATACTTTCCAGAATTAGGTAAGCATCCCTTCAGGGAGCGAGAGTGCGCATTCCACCAACTATCTCTGGGATTTCCATGAGCAGATGGGGTGCATGGAAATCTTAGTTGGGTTTGGAGACTCTGAAGCAGGGTGATGGGTTTCGGCATGTGTCAGACACCCGGCTGACCAACAAAAAACAATACATCTGCTTCCACATTAATAGGGCAAAGCCATAGTGATTGAAACAGGTAGAGGGTCTGGTATTAGAGATCCACATACCATTTCTGTGCCACATGCATAATTTATAGTCTCAGGCAGGAGGTGAACGAGTTAGATTTATCACTCCTAATTCTGAGATCACATGGGTGAGCAAACACCCCCCCCTGCTCCCCACCAGCTAAGACCAGTGGTGTGTGTGTATCTGTGAGTGAGTGTATGTGCCCTGGGGTGGTTGTAGTGGATAAATTGTTCTTTCATGCCTCGGTCCTATTCTGAAATGCAAACTAAAACGACCGCTTAATGTTTAGATCAAATTCCTTCTGTCTGTTTCTCGCACTCCCAGTCAATATTTGTAACCACATTCTCTTATACTGAGGCATTGGTGCGTTTATATTGCTTTCCTCCAGTGGTTGAGGAGTCTGGCCAACAGATTAACTCCTTCATGCACACACACACACACACGTTTCCACCTCAGAGCCACAACAGATTGAGACAGAGGAAAGTGGTTAGGGTAATAATTCTCTTCCCCCTCCTGAAAATGTGGTCTCCCAATCCATGACTGTTTGTGGGATACTGCTGTGTGCAATTGGCTGCCGCGTTTCACCTACAAAACACCTCACAGTCACTCCACTTTACAAATATATCCTGTGAAGCGCTTTGAGACATCTGAACGACGTGATAAGGTGCTGCGTCGAAGGCAAAGATTATTATCATTATAAACAGCACGCACATCAACAACAACCCGTGGTGAGGAGGTGGGAGAAGAAATGTTGCATTTCTGATCAAAACAAAAACGCAGCGTTTATTAAAGAAAAACTACCTAAAAATAAATAAAAGACACAGCCACACGGAATAAAACTGTTGACATTCTCAGAGGGCAGGCCTTTGGCTGTGTGTGTGTGTGTGTGTGGTTTCACAGATTCCCTTCCTTTCCTCTCCCCCCCCCCCCCCCCACCACACAAAAAAACACACACACACATACACACCAGAAAAATACACAAACCAACCAGCAGCCTCGAAAATTGACAGCTTTTGCTGCAAAGGGTGTGGGTGTGTGTGTGTGTTTGCATACACACACAAGGCAAAAGCCTTCAAAGGAGACGTGTCCCATCACTTTGCACTCTACCCCCCGAGTAATACTGAGTTCAAATGGAAGTGTGGGGGGTGGGGGAGTGGTGCAGCCTCTCAATGTGGGGCTGTGAGACTGAGGGATGGATTATTGCTTTAGCGTTTCCCCCTTTCCATCAGTGCAGGAAGGAAGCACAGATGTTGCCTGGAGAGGGGGAGAGGGGGAGAGGGGTGGGGGAGAGAGAGAGAGAGAGAGATACAGAGAGAGGAGAGGGGTGGGGGGGGGGGGGGCGCATCGCTTTGGTACTTTGCAAAATTACCTGCAAGGATAGTCTGATCCCATGTCTTCCGCAACAACCTTTCCAGGAAGGAGAGAGAGCACACAATCACAGCATCGAATCCTTGGATCCTTTTTTTTTGGAGGAGGTGGGTGGGTTGTGGTGGTGGTGGTGGTGGTGGTGGGGGTTGAATGAAAAAAAATTCCAGCCCCCCCCCCCCACCCAAAAAAAAATGCAGATTTTTTTCTGATTATATATAATTAACACTTAGCAATCTTTCTGCGCAATTTCAGCAGCCATGTTGTTCCCAAAGCCACGAGGAAAAAAAAATCTTTTTCATACATCATACATAAATATACGTGATAGAAAAAATATACCATTTTAACAAAAAAAAACCAATGAAAAGGCCCGGAGCGTCTGAAAATGAATGGGGTTTTTTTTTTTCTTTTTTTTTCAAAAAAAAAGGGCTTAATGTCCAGTCCCGTCAGTGTTGCAAGATTTTTTTTCACACACACACACAGCTAACTCCCAGACAGAGTACAGCTGAGCTAAGGGGAGGTGCTTTGTGGAGGTACAGCCTCTGTCAGCCTTCAGATGAGGTGCTTGTCTGTGCTTTTCCCCCCTCTGTATGGCTGTCATTACATCCTGGGCTGTGTCCTATGTGTGTGTGTGTGTGGCTGGGAATAAGAATAGGAAGGAGGAGTTGCAAATCTGACCCTAGTTCTCTCTGATCAGCTTCCTTCTTAATAAATTATACATGTTTCTAATTGAGAAGCGTAAAGTGGTGGTTGGGGGCTGTGGGGGGGGGGGGTTATGGTCTGCGAGATTAATTTGCCATTCGTTCACCGGATCTGCGTCTTGCCCTTAAAACAAGAGAGGAAGGAGAAACGAGATGCGATGTGATAAGAGACCACACTGCACACACAACCTGTCCTGTAATTGGAATGTTAAAAATCGTCGCTTTGGAACGTGGGATAAAAAATGTGCTGTTGGTGTCTGATGTCAACTCGTAGCTGATCTGAACGCAGGATGAGACAAAGCCACCCACTGAAGCTCCTTCCCAGTCACTCCCACTGCACAGATCCTGATTACAATCCAGCCCTTCCTGGAGTCCCGTAGCGTAGTAGTTAGCCCACTCCCCTCGTAAGCAAGAAGACCTGGTTCAGTTCCTGGGTGGGGCAAAATCTTAGGCAAGTTTCCTTACTCCACACGCCTCTGTTTACCTAGCAGTAAGTAGGAACCCAGTTGTTAGGTGATTGGCAGATCACTTTGCAGGTAATAATCCCTCCCTCCCCCCAACAAAAATGTGGTCACTCAATCCACGTCTGTGGGACACTGCTGTGCGTAATTGGCTGCCATGTTTCGCTAACAAAATACACAGTCAATCCACTTTACAATATATTCTGTGAAGCGCTTTGAAACATTTCAACGACGTGATAAGGAGCTATATCAAATGCAAGGTGTGGAGTCCTGTAGCTCAGTGGTTAGAGCACTCGCTTTGCAAGTGAGAGACCTGAGTTCAATTCCAGGCAGAGGGCGAAACCTTGGGCAAGTTTCCTTACTCCACACAGAGCCTAATAATAATCCCTCCAAAACCAAAAACAATAATAAATTGGTCAGTTTCAATCTACGACTGTTTGTGGGACATGCTGTGCGCAATTGGCTGCCGCGTTCGCCCACAAATATACAGTCAATTCACTTTACAGTGTGTTCTGTGAAGCGCTTTGGGACGTCCTCCCGACATGAAAAGCACTATATCAAATGCAAGGATTATTATTATTATTATTAAGGATTATTATTATTCACTCACTATTTTTCCTAGATTTTGATATGGCCTTGAAATGCCACAGGGAAATTGTTATCAAGTGTATTGACTATATTTGCAGGACAATGTGGCAGTAATTTCTTTTATTAAAAAAAGCCCAGCCTAGCATGTTCCCACAAACAGCCCAAGAAGGTGAAACGTTAAACCGAGGTCTCATTTGCCTGTTCAGGTGGACGTTAAAGATCCCGTGGTGCTATTTGGAAAGAAAACAGAGTTTCTCTTCCCCGGTGTCTTGGCCAACAATATATAAAATTGGTCACTCACTCCACGGCAGTTGCTGTGCTGCCGTGTTTGCCTACAAATACTCCACTTCATGACAAGGCGCTATATCAAATGCAAGTATTATTATAAATATAGTGATCAGTCCTGTATTGATTTCTGGTTTGTGTCTGGAGGTTCAAATCCTAAGTCGAGGTGGAGGTGATAAAGTGCTTGAAAGCTGAGCTTCCACACATGATGGATGAGGAGTCTTCCCATCCCTCTCTCTCTCCCCCCCCACCATCCGCTGCAGATACTGATGCAGTTGCCTCCCCCCCACCCCTTTTCTCCGAGACCTCCAACGCAGCCCTGCCCGAGTGAGCAACCACGTGAACAATTTGTTTTCGGCTGTTAGTTGTCAGGACGTCCATTGCCATGGTTACCACCGGGAGTAGAAACATTTCGAGGAACAGTCGAACTCAAAAGTAATTGGAGCTTTTCTTTGAGACAATAGAGACCGCTTGTGTATGTGTGTGTGTGTATGTGTGTGTGTGTGGGGGGGGGTGGTGTGGACGCCTATTGGTTCAAATGCTTGTACTCTACAGGGATCTGATGGCTGTACTGCTTCCACATCTACAGTTACAATTAACCCTTCGCTGCTCAACCTGCGGAAACGTAACAACAACCTTCAGACTGCCAGGCCGAAGGACGCACCGTTTCAATATCCTGAGATTATCTTTCCCTCGGGAATCCCCCAAAAAATGCGCTCAATCCACGAATGTTTGTGGGACGCTGCTGTACTCAACTGGCTGCCGGGTTCCACTCACAAAATACACATTCAATTCATTTTTCAGTAGCACTTGAAGCTTCAAAGTGCTTGAAGCACTTTGAGTTGTCTCAGTGATGTAATATCAAATGTAAGGATTATTATTGTAACAACAAATTGCATTTGTATAACACCTTTCACGTTGGGAGGATGTCCCGAAACGTTGGTCAGCTGCGGGCTTGCACCTCGAGCAGGAGGGTGGAATCAGGAGGGGTGGAGGGGTGTGGGAGGGGTGTAAAATGACAAGCCTGAAGACTCCACTCCATATTTTTGAGATTGCTTCTCTTTCCGTTTTTCTTAATTACTTCACAAAAGAGGCAATTAAGCCTCTGGGGATCTGTTAATTTAGTGATAGCTCGAGCCCCCACCCCCCCCAGTTCAGTTACAGCACCCGGAGGCACACAAGACAGCACACACTGTGGATTCCTCCTGTGCTCCTATCCGCAACCCAGCAAGACCTTGCCTCCCTTCCCGCGTCCCCCCTCCCTCCTTCCGTCTCCCCTGAGCTGGGATTGTCCCCATCGAGACCATGGAAAAGGCAGGAAAGCAGCAGATCTCATGCCTGGAGCTTGGGTTAGAACTCGACCACTTTGGCCCAAACACAAGCATCTGACGGAAGTGTTAAATTCCGACCCAGAGCTGGTGGGTTCTCGACTGGTTACTGACAATTCCCAATTGACATTCAGATCATTCTTGCATTCCGATGTATGGGAATTCCCTACAGATCCACAAGCATGATTAGAAAACGGGGCAGTAATTCTGATCGGGGAAAGGATTTACAGGTTAGAGCAATGAGTGAGATGATCAAATACTCAAAAATAATCAAATATAATCCTTGTATTTGATCCAGCGACTTATCACGTCATTGAGATGTCTCTAAGTGCTTCACAGGATATACCGTAAATAGATTGACTGTATTTTATTGGCGAAACGTAGCAGCCAGGTTGCATACAGCAGTGTCCCACAAACAGCCAAGGAGTGAGTGACTTAATTTTATTTGGGGAATCGTTGACCAGGACACCACGAGAGAGAAACTCCCTTCTCTTTTCAAACAGTGCCATGGGATCTTTAATATCCAACTGAACAGGCAGACAGGACCTCGTTTTAATGTCTTATCCAAAGAGAGAATGTGTGAAGGGGTGGAAACAGAGGACCTGGCAGATATAGTAACGATATGAATATTAGGTAGTTTTGCTTGGTTATGTTTTGGGACCTCAGAGTATTGAGGTAGAATATTCACATGTGGGTGGGTTAGCCTGTGTGGGACAGGGCTCTGAAAGGCTTGATGGATAAATGGTGTTTTCAACTCCTCCGCCTCCCCCTCCAGCTCTGGCTTCCAGTCAGCTGTGTCAAACAGTTTGAAACATGCTCCCGACGTGTAAGGCACGTTAATAAAAACAATACTTGCATTTGATACAGCGCCTTATCATGTCATTCAGACTTCTCAAAGCGCTTCACAGAATATACCGTAAAGTTAATTGACTGTATATTTTGTGGGCAAAATGCAGCAGCCAATTGCAGTCCTACAAACAGTGGTGGATTGAGTGACTACATTTTTTTTAATGTAGATGTAAATTGTTGATTGTCATCTTCAAAAGCTGCGTGAAAAAAAACTACCTCTTCGACCACACCCCTCCCTGATTAATGTCCAGTGTCACCCAGTAAAGGGCTTGGAGCCGTCACTCTGCACGAACGGTGTGGTATAAACACAAGTTGTTGTTTTCAATTACTATCCTTCCTTTTAAGCTCTTAAAGCGAGAGGCGTTACTGTGCGCTGTATCGAAGGCAAATAATTAATTCTTACAAATAGACCACTGTGAATTCATTGTCTACATTCATTCACGTGTAGAGAAAGGACACTTGGACAAGATGCCTCACACAGAGAGAGAGAGAGAGAGAGAGAGAGAAGAGGTACGAAAACATAGCCCACTGTGGGAAGAGAGAAATAAAATATTCTGCACAAGGTTTCAAATGGTGAGAACCAGATTTGATTGCATGTTTCCGGGAGCAGAGCTCACTTCCCACAGTGATAGCGCTGTTCACAGTCAACTGCAGCATTCGCCAGAGACTGACGTTTTTTTTTACAGTTTTTTTCTCTATCCCTCTGCCTTGCTCTCTTTCTGCGTGAGGGGCGCTATATAAATGCAAGTTGTTGTTGTTGTTGGTTAAACCTCAATGTACTTTTGTGCTTTTTTTTCAAAGCATTCCTTTCACAAGAGGCAGCGAGGTTGGGAAATATTTTAGCTACGCTAGTCGCTGCTGTGACACTGACAATATTGAAGCCCCGATTTCCTGGTGCTGTTTTGCGAATCGCTCGAAGATCATTTCACTGGGGTCTTCACATTTATCATAGAAACTTCCCATTACAGCCAGGCTAATGACAGAAGGATCAGGATTCGGACAAAGGTTCAGCCCCAAAGGTTCACTGTCTTCCTCCTCCACATGATGATTGACCTGCTTTGTGGGTTTCCAGCGCTTTCTGTGTGTTTATAGCAGACAGATCACAAGATGCTGACAGCACATCAGTGATTGCCGATTAAGAGCCCAGCCATATTTCAGTCAGGGACAGTGGAGGGGGAGCTGAGAAACACAGATAAATTCTTCTAAATCGCGAAGCCACATTCATTCATTCTTCTTAATGCAGTTCCAACTGTTCCATTTCGCCTTGCAATTTTTTCTCTCCTCTCCTCAAGGCGCTGACCTGAGCAGGCAGTACTTAATGAGGCAGAGCAAAGAGGCAGCTTTAACCTGTATTATTTTGAATTAACCTATGAAGTCTGCTGCAGGTCCTGAGAAACGAGCCCCCTCCCCCCCTTCCAGGGCTGGCCAGACTTTCTGTTCCAGTTTATGCGTTGAAACAAACATTAATATCAAAGTGAAATACTAATCCTTAATGTTAAGACTTTTTTCTATCTCCATATTTCCCTCCCTCCTCATCCTTCCATTGAATACCATTCTTTATATCTTTATTTCTTCAGATGAGATGATAAACCGAGCTCCCCGTCTGCCTCTTCAGGTGGACGTTAAAAAGATACCATGACGGTAATTGAAAAGAAAAGGGAGATTCTCCCTCCAGGTATCCTGGCCAACAATCCCTCAAATAAATAATTGATTGTTTGTGGGACACTGCTGTGTGTTATTGTGCTGCCGCGTTTGCCTACAAAACAGTCACTTAATTTCACAGTAAATCCTATGAAGCGCTTTGAGATGTCCTTCCGATATGATAAGGCGGCTTACTACATGTAAAGATTATTATTATTATTTATTATTACTTTTCCTAATGTAACTTGACTACCAATTCCAATTTATTGGGGAACAACGTTTATAACTCTTGAAGTTTATTTGCCCGATTTCTACACATGTCTTGCTCCAATAGTCCAATTGGAAGGTGCAAATAGCTTCTGAATCATGAACTCTCCCTAATTCCTTCCTCCTCTCACTTGGTTCAAAACCCTTCTGCAAATAATTCATAAGTAAATGTGAAAAAAAAGATTTTTATTTGGAATTTCTATTTACAATATTAAAATGTTTTTTAAAAAATCTTATAATATAAAAAATTCTAAAACAAAGTAAAAACATAATAAATATGAAGGTATTACTAGAATCCCTCCTATCAATGTAAACCAGCAAAGGCACAGGTGATTAGAAACATGAAACATTTGAATAGGTATCTAGGCATTATTCAAAACAAGCCACAACTTGTTCATTTAAGTTTCTCTACAAAACACTCTTCAAAAACTATCAGTCTACGCCAGAAACCAAATCTTGGGAGGTAAGCCTGGATTGTTAAGAACTGTGGAACATCCTCCCGATGTGAAAGGCGCTGTATAAATGTAAATTTGTAATGTAATTTATTTGCAAACGTCGACTCCCAATAAGTCATGAAACAGACATTAGCAGCTTCATTGAAGTACGCTCACAGTGACGAGAGCAGGCAAAAGGCGGGAGGTTTCAACATGACCCAGATAATTGAAAGGGATGGCAACACTGCAGTCAGCTACATTCAGAAGGGCAGAGCGCATTCGGTTGGTTGGCAAGTGATTTTAGATTTTAAAACAAATGGGGGCAGGGCGGTTTATACGTTGTGAATCTATAAACGTACACACCTCCTACACCCCAAAACCTGGAGCAAATGCTGGGCCCCAATTGGAATCATGGCCCCCTCCATTGAAAACATCTGCCTCTAGAAGTTGGAATCCTGAGATTTTAGTGAAACAATGACGAGATCGTCAGAGTTGTCTGAGTCCACATCTTCTGCTCTCCCGTAACTGGACCTCTCTGTAAGCAAGAAGTAGAAATAAAAATCTTTATTAATTAGTTTTGATAATAATCTTTCTTCGGGGGGTGTGGGGAGGGATAGAAATGACCTCTTTAGCTTTTTCTAGCATTTACCTTTACAGTTGAGTTAGGCAAGGATTATCTTGTATTTATAAAAAGTTAATATCAAACACGTAAATAATAATAATTCTTGCGTTTCACATCGTGCCCCTCATGCAGAGTAACGTTCAGACATAATCCCGTTTCGATGAGACGTCTCAAAGCACTTCACAGAATATATTGTAAATTGGATTCATTGTGTATTTTGTGGGCAAAATGCAGCAGCCAGTTGCGCACAGCAATGTCCCACAAACAGCCTTGGAGTTAGTGACCAATTTTATTTGGGGGATTATTATCAGTGTCTTGGGACGTCCTCCCAATGTGAAAGGTGCTATACAAATGTAATTTTGTATTGTCGTATTGGCCAGGACATTGGAAAAGGGAAACCCCTTCTCTTTTCAAATAGCACCATGGGATCTTTAAAGTCCACCTGAGCAGACAGACGTTGAAGTCTCAAGTTACGTTTTTAAAAAAAGATTTATTTTTGTCCTGTGCAAATCACGTCACTTACCCAATGGCGGTCTATTTGCTGATAAATTGAGTTTCCTCACAGATTCCATCTCTTCCTTGTCTTCAATTTCAAAACACTCCTCTGGTATCTCGTCGCTGTCCTCATCCCCCTTGTGGAAATCTGTCATAAAACAGGAAGCCATTGGCAACAATAATAATAATCCTTGCATTTGATACAATGCCTTATCATGTCTTTGAGTTGTCTCAAAGCCCTTCACAGAATACAATGTAAAGTGAATTGACTGTATATAACAATACACAGATTATAGGCAGCGGAGGCAGTGCTTTACATAAACAGCTCAATGTCGAAACGGGAAGACGGGTGAGCTGGTATAATGGAACGATGGAGTCAAATAGTGAAGAGCCTTCACTCATCGGCACAGGCACAATGGCCTGAAATGGCCTGTGCTGTAGTGTTCTGTGATTAATCCCAACCACTCCTGTGATTGCTTTCTGTGGGGTAATAATCCCTCCTCAAATTACAAAAAAAAGTTTTGGACACTCAATCCCCTACTGTTTGTGGGACAATGCTGTGCGCAATTGTCTGCTGCGTTTTGCCCACAAAATACACAGTCACTACACTTTACAGAATATTCTGTGAAGCACTTTGAGACGTCTCAATGACGTGATAAGGCGCTATATCAAACACAAGTGTTATTGTTATTATTATCTTGTGTTTTGCAGGACACAGTGGTGCTGCCGAGTGTGTCAGACACTGACTGGCTTAATTAGCACGTTAGCAATTCAATCAGACCAGTGTGTGACAAGGTGTTTGTAACCTCCCATCAATGTTAGTTGTTAGTGGGTCCCCATTGTGTGGTTTATCCAAATTTCTTGGGTGCAGGAGATATGTGGACATCCAGGCTTTTGCAAAAGGGAATAACAGAAAGCAGAAGCCTCAGTAACACGTGCAAGAAAAATCCCCTCAAACTAACTAATCCTTTCATTAGTGAATTGCTATTATCTAAGAACTGTGACTGACTTCTCAAACCTCTGAGGACTGTGGGTAGGAATTCTGCCTCAAATTAAAACCAACTGGTGCAGGGCGATGGCAAACATCCCTCAGCGACGGAGGTTGACACAGAAACGTGCGGAAACGTGACGAGAAAATAAAAATGTCTGTGCGGGGCCTGGGATTGTTTGCAAGGAATGATGTGGATTAAGAGATAATTGTTGGCTTTGACCTCTCTCCCAGTTCCACCCTCGGTGTCAGAAACTCCACACAAAGTCATTGCCAGAATTCAAAGTTTTAATTGGATTATTTCTTACTAATAAAAAAAACTGACGATGACTCATAATTTAGTGGTGAATAATCCAACGCAGCGGATGCAGCTAAAGTCAGGGAGGTCGGAAGAAATTGGGGAGTGGGGGGGAGGGGGAATGGGTGTTGTTAGAACATGGCTTAATGCGATGGTGGCCAACCTGTGTCAAGATTCATGGCACAAATCAAGAAATAATCAATCAAGAAAATGTATTTTGTTGGCTGACCATAAAAGATGCCCACAGCTGTCTTAATGCAAATGGCTACTGAGGCCAAATCCACAACGGATTAAAATGGGAATTAGATAATACCAGAAAAACTGTATCATTTAGGGTTTTGGGGAAAAGAAATGGGATTAGAGCAGAGAGCTGTATGGGGGGAGCAAGCACCAAACTCAAAAGGCCAAATAGCTTCTTGAAATAGATCCAAGCTGGTAAGGCTTTTTGTGGGGTAAGTACCTTGGGAGGAAAAGCCCTCAGACTGCAGTATATTGAACACCTACCCAGATATGCTGGTCGGCTTCGGGCCTTGCTGGACCTGCTTGCTACATCAGGAGCTTCTTTTGCTTGTTGAGTTGAAGGAGTAGGTTGTGCTTTGCCTGTGTTGCTAAACACCACCATAGACACCAAAAGAAATATAATAATAATAATCCTTGCATATGATATAGCGACCCATCATGTCTTCGAGATGCCTCAAAGTGCTTCAGAATATACTGTAAAGTGAATTGACTGTATATTTTATGGCCGAAACACCACTCTCTCTCTCCTGAATATCTCAGAATCTACTCTGCGCATTGCACGATGCAAATCAGTTGGGCTGTTGCTGTTGTGTTCAGTAAGTTTTGCAAATCTATGAATACGTGTGGTGCCGCTATAAATATGAGACGATTTTGTGTTAAGTATAATGTTATTTAGAAACTGCAGCACAAATTTTCACTGAATGGATCAGAATAGTGCTTAACCCTCAGCAATGAATCACTTACATGGAATCGCACCCCGCCCCAGGTATTTTAAATCCCAGGTTTTTAAATACAAGGATCACAGTTAGTTGCGGTAGAAACACAGCAAGAGCGCACAGCCTGAATTTTACCTCTGTGTCAGACGCTCTCTGCGGCTCAGGTGACCCCTCAACGAGGACTGGATGAAGGTGATGGCCTCCTCGTCCTCAACCTGGGCAGAGATAAGCCTCTGGGTGCTGTTACTGGGAGAAGCAGAAGGGCTCTGCAACCAAGTGTGGTATAGAGAGACATTAGACATTAAACACAGCCGTGCTCACACACTCACTGTGCGGGCTCGACTTGAATAATAACAACAATAATAATCTTTAGTCAAAGTTTGACAAACACAAATTTGGAATGCTTGAGGAAAGCAAATTTTCTTAAAAAATATAATTATAGTACATTCAATTATTACTCTAAATTTTCTCCTCGTTGGTGTACATGGTTCGAGGGACATTGCTGTAGGCAAATTATCTGCCACATTTCCCTGTGAAGCACTTGATTTTTATTATTACTGGAACAATAATAAAGGAACTGTTTTCGCACTCGAAGGAACTAGGTCAGGACAGGAGGATCTGAAGGAGGGTGGAGTGGAGATGGGTAATAATACCTTGTTGTGCAGAGAGGAGGTGCTGTTTGGCTCCTTTGGGTGTGTGGCGTGGGTGTCACCTCGGGCTGAGAGCTGCCTCTGCCGAGCTCGATGCCCCTGTAGAGCTGCCTGGATGGTGGCTGTTGCCTAAGAACAAAGCAAACAGAACACTGGTCACAGGAAGCTTCGGAAGCTGTTTTATAGCAGAAATGCCTGGTTTCTGGATTGACCCAGACTACGCAGGCTGCCTGTCTGCTTCATTGCTGTTTTGCGCACAAAGTACAGTCAATTCACTTCAATAATAATAATAATTCTTACATTTGCTATAGCGCCTTATCACGTCTTCGAGACGCCTCAAAGCGCTTCACAAAATATACTGTAAAGTGGAGTGACTGCGTATTTTGTGGGCGAAACGCGGCAGCTAATTACTTTACAGTATGTTCTGTGAAGCAATTTGAGACGTCTCGAAGATGTGATCAGGTGCAATATAAAATGCAAGGGTTATTATTTAATAATAATATTATGATTGCTAAATGCTACTGTTTGAAATCTTTGTAGCTGAATATTTCTGCTTTGTCAAGTTAGGGGCTGTTAGAGTTGACAAAGGGGACATCTTGGGATTTTTCCTTTCAAACACTGTGCAGCGCCTTGGGATTCTAAAAACTGTTTCCACTGGTGGATGTGTCGGTGACTCGAGGTCACAGATTCAAAATAGTTTCTAAAAGAAGCAGAGGGGAGGTGAGAAGAAATTTTTTCATGCAGCGAGTTGTTCGAATCTGGAACGCATTGCCTGAAAGGGTGGTCGAGGCCGATTCGATAACTACTTTTAAAAACGTGGTGGACGGGTATTTGAGGAGGACGGGTTTGCAGGGTTATGGGGAAAGGGCTGGGGAGTGGGATTGACATTAATTGCTCTATTCAAAGAGTCGGCACAAACTCGATGGGCTGAATGGCCTCTTTTTGTGCTGTACAATTCTATGATTCTATCCCTCCCGACGTGAAAGGCGCTACACCTTTCACTTTTGTTGTTGTCGTTGCCGTCCTCACGAGTTATAAAATCCCTAGATATTCCTGGCAGACTAACTCTCTTGGGGATGTTTGCTCCACGTGCTCAAATTTACCTCGGAGTCCCAGTCTGTGTCTTCTTTCTAAAGAGGGGAAGGAAATAGGAACATCATTAAAACTTTCCAATAAAAAAATGGACCAAGCCACTCTCTTAAAACATGTAGCACACTGAAAGGCACTTTCTCCTCTTAGTGTTCAATCACCAAAAAAGTGAGAGATGGGGTCAGTCAGCACTTTCATGCTCCGACTCTACACTGTTAAACATAGAATGGGCTGGAGGCTGCTCAATATTTACTGTGAAGGAGTGCAATCTCTGTTAAACGTGTTGAGTGACGGGTGTGATGGGTGAAACAGACTTTTTTTTTTAGCTCCACGTCTTTCGTTCTTAAATTCCAGACTGATTTTACACTCTCCTAAAGCACCCTCCAGCTCTCTGCTCCTTTTTAACTCTCATCTAGTGACAGAACTTGATCGTTCCTAGTAACAGCTCAACATAAGTCTGTGGACTCAGGTTTGACTTCATTCTCCTCTCAGGTAACATTCAGAGGTGTGGGCGTGGAATTCATCCAAACCTAAACTAGTTGTGTGCCTACAGTGAGGCAGTAAATCCTCTGGTGGATGAGAGCAAGTCCCTGTATAACTGTTCAAGATGTTTCAATGTCACAGGCATTGTATTAAATGCAAGGATTATTATTATTTGGTGCATGTTAATGCTCTGCAAGCTATTCAAATAAAAATAATCCTTGCATTTGATATAGCGCCTTATCACGTAATTGAGATGTCTCAAAGCGCTTCATGGAATATACTGTAAAGTGGATTCACTGTATTTTGTGGGCAAAATGCAGCAGCCAAATGCGCACAGCAGTGTCCCACAAACAGCCATGGATTGAAGTGACCAATTTATTATTATTTTTTTTCAAGGAATTTTACCCCCGGAAAAGCGATCCACCAATCGACTAATAACTGGGTTCCTACTTACTACCGGGTAAACAGCGGGGTGTGGAGTAAGGAAACCTGCCCAACATTTCACCCTACCAGGAATCGAACCCAAGTCTCTCGTGAGCAAGGCGAATGTTCTAATCACTGAGCTACCCGACTCCACAATATCACGCATAACACACACTGTCCTTTCTCAGTGAGCCTCGGGGGCTGCTGTGGGCTGGTTCCCAGCCTCAGGTCCTCCCCACTCTTACCTTCCCAACGCCATCTCCTTTCTCTCTCTGCTTCTCTTCCTGAGTGGCCTCCAGCTGTTTCACCCTTTCTGTCAGACCCCAGACCTCTTCCCTGCAGCACAAAACACAGCACATTTAACACTACCTCTTCAGCTGCTCATTAAACTGGCACTAAATGAAACGGCTGTGATTTCTGGAAGGTGCTGACCTGGTTTGCTCAGAGGTTTGATCAACTTGAAGCGTTAGTCTCTCCAGTACTTTCCCCAGCTCAGACTTCTCTTGGATCAATTTCTTTACTTCGGCACTGGAAAGCAGAGATGTGGACTGGAATTAACTGGGGCAACGTGGGGCTAAGTCACTGGCCTTTCAATTCCAGCTCCCTTCCAGGCTGGGAATCCAGGACTAAAATCTGGTCCATACTTGTTTTAAGAAAGTCACTCACACCCAATGGTGAGAGGCTTTCACCTGAGCTGGATTCAAACCCGGAGTCCCAGGGGGTGAAACACCACTGTACTGAACCACTGTGTGCTGGGCTGAAGCACAGCGTCATCATCTGGTACAGGGTGGTCTAACTGGCAGCCCCTGGGCCGATTACATCTTCCCCCCCACCCCCACTCTCCATTGCATCTGACCCACCCGCTCCCTCCATAAACTGTAAATGTTATGTTTCTGAAAGGGAAACACAAAAATATTGCTTAGGAGTCCCACAACGTTTCTCAAATAGGGTATCCGGCCCTCAGCAGCCAAAAGGTTGGATCACCCTGATCTAATAGAATGGCGGAACAGGCTCGAGGGGCTGAATGGTCCACTCCTGTTACTATGAGCCACTGCTCCCCAGGCTGACCCACTATACTCCTGGCTGAACGGCTGCTCTAAAACATTTATTTCTCCACTCACTCCTTGCTGGCGAGTTGCGCCTGCAGCTCTCTGCGGTCGTCCTTCAGCTTCTTCACCAGTCCACGAAAGTGATGGCTTTCCTGCTGGAGGCAGGATTCCCGCTGCTCGGGCCGCTCCGCAGCGCAGTCCAGCACTGGGAGCTGTCCCTCCATATTTCTGCCACCGCCAACTAATTTGCTCCAGCCCAATTCCTGCTCCTCTGCTTTCTGGCAGGTTGTGGGGGGTGGGGGGAGCGAAGAACGAGAGAGAGACACATACATAGGATAAAGGAAATCTGCAAACTGGTCAACAGGTCAGGTCATGTATCTCATCGGTCACAAGCCTCCTGTCTATACCACTATACACTGTGTTTCAGCCTGGCCCAACCCACGTTGGGACTTGGAATCACATCATCTAAGCTGACGCTACAACGCAGTGCTGGGGAGCGGTTGTTGCATTGTCAGAGGTACCGTCCTTCGGATGACACGTTAACCTGAGGTGGACGTTAAAGATACAATGGCACCATTCAAAAAAAGAAGGGAGTTTCTCTCTAGGTGTCCTGGCCAATAATCCCCCAGATAAAATTGGTCACTCACTTCACGGCTGTTTCTGGGACATTGCTGTGCCCAATTGGCTGCCTTGTTTTGCCCACAAAATAAACAGTCAATTCACTTCACAGTATATTCTGTGAAGTGCTTTGAGATGTCTTGAAGTTGTGATGAGGCGCTATATCAAATACAAGGATTATTATTATTAGTAATAATAATTACATGGGAAACAGGCTCTCCCTGAAACCTCAGCGTCGCTCACTACACTCACCCTCTCCAGCTCGAGCACTCGCCTCACCAGCCTCTGTTTGCTCCACTCGCTGTAACCTGGAAAAGGAGGTTTTGTATTTGATTCCATAGTTTAAACAACAATAACTTGGATTTATATAGCACCCCTCACGCACAGTAGCATGCCAGAGTGCTTGACAGTGGCGGAGCACAATGTCGAGCCGTGGAGAAGGGAAGGTGACCATAGGCACGGTCAAACAGGAAGGTCTTCAGATGTGACCTGAAGATGGGGAAGGAAGGGGCAAGGCGAAGGGATAGAGGAAGAGTGTTCCAGAGTTTTAGTACATAGTGACTGAAAGATTGGAATGTGAACATGGTGTCAAACATGCGGCAATTTCTAATGGGATTCCATAATAATCGTCACACTGGGAACGCCGCTCCCAAATGAGATTGGGTTGAAGCGGAGTTCCAACAAGCCTTATTTCCGCTTTCTTCATTAACTGGAAATTCCCATTAGACATTGCTGCATCTTAGATAGGATAGTACCCAATGCCCAACTCATGTTGGTCAGTTAACTGATAGCACAGCACATGGTAGAACAACGGCCGCTCCTCATTAACATGGCACAGGTGCATTACTGCTCTGGGAGGCATCAATAGGGTGTCAAGCGCTTTACCACAGGAAACACGGGCAGCAGGGGGCAGGCAGTCAACACTCCTCCAGATTAATTAGTCATTTGCCTCGTGGTGGTTTGTAGCAACTTGTGCCTTTGACCTTAGTGTGTGTTGTATGTGTGTGTGTGTCATGGGGAAAATGAAGGGTTAAGAGAGCAAATACTTTGAATAGAACCTTTCAAGCTCTAAAGGAGAAAAGGGAGAAAAAAGTCACAGAAAATATCTAGATTTCGCTGTGGTCACAATGTACCCCGTGCTGTGCTGGTCGCGGGAGAGTTACTGAGAACTCGGTCCAGGTCCATCTTCAGAGTCTTGTTCTCCTCTTGGAGAAGTTTGATGGTTTTGGACAATCGCAACCTGGTGGAGTTTAGGAGTTTCTGCGACTCTCTGCTCTCTGCAGGGTCTCTGCAGGAGGAAAAATAAAAAATCTTATTGTTATTATAAGGCAAACAAGTCTTCAGCCCGTATTCATCCACGTTCACGGTTTTCCTTTCAGAGGAGAGGCAAAGAGACACACAGGTAGCAGACATAGAGGCAGGTAGGAAGACAGACAGATACACAGGGACGCAGACAGACAGACAGACAGACAGACAGACAGACAGACAGACAGACAGACAGACAGACAGACAGACAGACAGACAGACAGACAGACAGACAGACAGACAGACAGACAGACAGACAGACAGACAGACAGACAGACAGACAGACAGACAGACAGACAGACAGACAGACAGACAGACAGACAGACAGACAGACAGACAGACAGACAGACAGACAGACAGACAGGGAGTAGGCAGAGAGGCAGATAGTCAGGGAGGGTGGGAGGCAGACAGACAGGCAGGGAGGAAGACAGATAAACAGGGAGACAGACAGACAGGCAGACAGGGAGACAGCCAAGATGGGCTTGGTCTCTTCAGTCTTCACTGCCCAGCTCACCCTGTAATCAACCAAACCGTTCTGGTGCAGGTCTATCCTCACTTAAGAAGGCAAGATACTACATTTCATATGATTCCTTCTCCCCTCGTGCTACATTAGACAGTTCTGCATCAACTCACTTTTTCTCTGCACTCAACAGAAGTCGGAGCCTTTGAATCTAAAAAAAGATGTATATATACGAAGACATAAATACTGAGATAAGATATCAACATAAGACATCAATATAAGATTGATAATATATAAATTACTGAAACACATGAATCAAAAACTAGGAATCATTTTAAGCGCTCTGGGACACAACCCGGCTTGAGGAGCACTATATAAATGCAAGTTGTTGTGGTAAACCATTGAAAATGATGCTTTCCCTTGCAAAACCATTACACAGCATTATGTAAAGAGCGCATGCTGGCTTTTGTTTACCAAACCACTTGGGGAACTGTTTTCCTGAGTCCTGTGGCTGACTATTTAGCGCTTTAGTTTGTGTGAAACACTGTTCCATATAGTGTGTCCTCTATGCGTAGGAGGAAAAAGAAGCTGTAGATTTTCAACTTAGGTTGGTCTTGCTGCTATCAGAAATCCCATCCCCGTGTTTGAAATACATTGATGGGATTAAAGTCTCCCCTGCGTGTTGGCTGTACGTGCTTGATGTGAATTCAGTCTGGGCCGCTCTACACACAGTTCCAACTGTGCGTGAGCTCACCACGACTACAATTTAGCAATCTCCCTCAGAGAGGTGTGGGCAACAAGGATAAAGATCACACTAGCAGAGCAGGGAGTACTCCCAACACTACATTTCTAGCTGAGTGGTGTCACTGGGGCTAATCTACTGCTAAAAGGTGCACTGTGCAATATACTCACACGAGTGTGCACACACACACATACATCTTGCATTTATATAATGCCCTTCACACCAGACACACACACACACACACACACACACACACAGGATTGAGCCTGGCCAATGAAAGGTTGCCTCACCTCCTCATAGTATGTCTCCATGGTGATCCTCATCTCCTCAATGTCGCTGGTCTTCAGGTCAGTTTGGAGTTTACTAAAGAAAAATCAAAATGCCAAGGCGCTCAATAAAATAACGTCTCTCCACAATAACCTCAAAGATATTAGCTCAACCTCTACACCAACGTTCTTTATATTAAACCCAAGGATACAGCTAAAAAGCAGCATCAAGGAGGGCGAGGCTGACCCTTGATAACATGCTTAGCAAAGTCAAAGCATCCAGAACCAGAGGACACAGGCTCAAGCTCGGGCTCACGAGAGGGAAGATGAACGGACAGTTCAGACTTAATTATGAGAGCTCGGTGATAGCGTGGAAGAGGCTACCCAGGGAACTGGTGGAAGCAGAATGTGTCAGCAGTTTTAACAGGGAATTAGATAGCGATTTGGCAAAGAAATCAATTGAGGGGAAGGGGGAATGAAGGATAAAGTGGTATAAGATTATTTATTTCCCAGGTCCGTACTGTACACTTCAGTGGTTAATTGGTGAGTGCGTGAGGCCCTCCAGTGGCTGCTCAGAGTATAACAGGTGAACCAGAAGGAAAGCCAGATACGCGGTTCTATTCTGAGTTTTATTCGGGTAAATAGCTGCCGGGCAGCGTTCCACCTTAGGATCCCGTGGTACATCTCCAGCGCTGCTCCCACACATGAGGGCATCACCAACAACAACGGAGGATTGTTCAGTAATCTATTAATAAATCCTTTTCGTCACTTAATTATAGAATTCTAATCAACTCTAATTCTATAATTATAGATGCAGCCAAAACACTCGTCCATACGTTTGTGACCTCCCGTCTCGACTATTAAAATGCCCTCCTCGCTAGTCTCCCCAGCTCCACCATCTACAAGATCCAGCTGATCCAAAACTCTGCCGCCTGCACTCTCCCCTGTACTAAACTCCATACCCGCATCATACCAGTTCTAGCCAGGCTCCACTGGCTCCTTGTCGCCAAATGGATTGATATCAAGATCCTGACATTTATTTTCAAATCCTTCATGCCCTGGCATCTCTCCGACCTGCTTAACCCCCAATCCCACAACCTGTGGCCTCATGCATGTCCTTCCGTCCATCATCGGTGGCTGCGCTTTCAGCCAAAACTCTGGAGCACTCTTTCTCTATCCCTCCACCTTGCCCCTTCCTTCCCCATCTTCAGGTCGCATCTGAAGACCTTTCTCTTCGACCGAACCTTTGGCTACCCCCCACCAGCTCGGCATCATGCTCTGCCACTGTCAAGCGCTCTGGGGCGCTACTCTGTGAGGGGTGCTGTGTAAATGCAAATTGTTGAATTAAGAGCACTTGTAATTCCTTCTGCGTCACTGGGACTAATCTACACATGGTGCAAAATAGTATAATATAATAATCCTTGCATTTGATATAGTACCTTATCACGCTCCCCCCTCACCTCCCATTGTCAGGCTAACTTACTTCAAAGAGTTCTCCTTCTCTCTGCATTGTTGCTCTAGCTTCAAGATTTTCTGTTTCAATCCACGTACAATCTGGAAGAAAACAGACAAAATTTGAATTATCCTCTTTCCCTCTGTTTACTTCTCTTTCCCAGAAGTTACTGACTCCCACTGGGATAAAGTTCCCCAGATCAAGGGATCACTGAATAGAGTTGAGGAACGGGAACTCTGGCTGACATTCCCGTTACCTAGCTCAGGGACAATGAGGCTGTGAGTATTGACCATTGGCACCCCCTTTGCTGAAATCAGCCAACTCAGCGAGGGCTGGGCATCGGAGGAAATTGAGATGCAGGTTAGATCCTGTGGAGTCTGAGGAGCTGGAAACGGAGATATGGGATGGGGGGGGTGGGCGAGTTTGGGATATGACAGGCAACATCATCCATTGGCTTCACAGGGGCATAGGTAGATAGCTTAAGTCACTTACACTAGCCCCAGGAGAAACCATGAAGAATTTATAAATTCACACCATCAGTTAAAGAAGTTTATAGCATCGGCTCAATCCTAAACGGCCGGCTTGTTTGACAACGGCTACTTTGAGCAGGCTTTGCTTCACATGAGTCTCATTTCTACAAACACATGGGAAATCGCCTCACTCACCCCATTGACGTTGTTCTTGTCAACCAGACTCCTGGTGTATTCCGAACTCTGTAAAGACCAAGAAAAGAAAAGCACAAAAAGGGTTGGTTCAGCCTTCGGAGGTCGGTAAATTCACGGACCTTGTTGGTCAGAGGCTGTCCTGGAATTCACACCCAGGTAATACACTGCAAATCGACTGATATAAGAACAGGAGTAGGCCATTCAGCCCCTCCAGCCTGTTCTGCCATTCTGTTAGATCATAGCTGATCTGGACCTCATCTACATTTACCCGCCTTTGCTCCATATGCCTCAACATCTTCACAGACACCAGCTATTGAACAAGTTTTTCTTTGCCATATTTGACATTAATCCAGAAGGGCCCTGGTCATATGGAACAAAGCCGACTCGACTGTTAAGCTGAGACGTTGCCCCACGAGAAGAGCATTATATATATTTGTATTATATATGCACTATATATATATATAATATAGCATTATATATGCACGTTGTTGTTTTAAGAGCAAAGACTGGAAAGTTAAACACGGCCTCTTGGTGAGCAAGGACTTGGGAAGTATCCCTTTGACCACAGGCCTCTCACTCAACTTGTGAATGGCCAGTGTGCAGTACCTTGGAAGGGTCCAAGAGCTGTTCGATATGCTTCTCCTTTTTGCTGTTCTCCTCCTCTGATCGTCTGAGCTTAGTTTTCGTGACATCATTCTCAGTCTTGTGAGCTTGGATCACCTTGGGTTGGGGGGTGGGGGAAAATGCCAACACATGGACAAAGATGAATTAGTAATGTGTATTGGTTGGTCCCAAGTGGATTGAGTTGCATTCGTTCAGTCTAATGGTGTGTTCACATCACACCCACGTACACTCATACTCTGACACACATGCACACACACGTACACGATTGATGTGTGATGGCGCATACACAAACACTCCCCATTGTATTGAATTGTAGTAAAGTTGAGTTCTTGTCTTTTTGGCGTCTGGCACACATGGAAACCCAACACCACACATAGAGTATCCACACCAGCTTGAGGTCACCTATGTATGTTACCTTCACATGGTAATTTCTTTTGTGTGTAACAAGGTGCCTACACTCTCCCCATTTTCAGATCTTACCTAATTCCGCAAAGTATTCAACGCCAGTTGGCAAGAGTGATGGTGTGGGAACCCCAGAATGGGGGAATTTAATCAGTTAAAACCACATCACTTTAAATTACAAGCGCTGCCTGATATATTCCTTATTATATTATTATAAGTTCCTCTTGCTTGACCAGCTAGGACCACACTACTTGTTGGGGCTTTTCTTGCAGTGGTAACAGGAGTTGAGTGGGCAGAATCCAACCTCCCAGTGACTGTTCTGCTCCTCTAAGCTCTCCCAACCAGCAAGGTTGGCTGATCCATGACTGTTTGTGGGACACCGCTGTATGCATTTGGCTGCTGCATTTCGCCCACAAAGTATACAGCCAATTCACTTTACATTATATTTGGTGAAGCGCTTTGAGACATCTCAAAGACGTGATAAGGTGCTATATCAAATACAAGGATTATTATTGTTATTATTATTATCTGTCACCAGCAACACCTTGGAGCATTGCAGACCCATCCGGCTCAGTAAACGGCCGATTACTGAGGCTGCCACAGAGGATCAACAGATTTTTTTTTGGGTGGGGAGGGAAGAGAAGAGAAACAAGAATTTGTTCACAATTGGGGCCTCACTCTAGAGCGGTCCAGCTCACTTTAAACCACTGGGTGCCCCCATTTATCCTGTAACCCTCAGTCCCATTTCTTGCAAACACCAGGCTAGCTAGGGAGGAGCTGGTCTCTCCGAAGACTCACTTTCTTCAGTTTGATGATCTCATCGTACATGTCTTCTCTCTCCTTGTAGTTGGGCGTGCCGGGGACGTAGCCTGCAGAGAGCATGACAGACAGGCTCAGAAACAGCTCAGGCAGCAAAGGGTTAGAAACCAAGAGGAGGCCATTCAGCCCATCAAGCCTATTTTTGGGTAATAATCCCTCAAAAAAAGTCACTCAATGCACAAATTTGGGGCACTGCTGTGCGCAATTAGCTACCACATTTCGACCACAAAATGCAGTCAATCCACTTTGCAACATATTCTGTGAAGCGCTTTGAGACGACTCAATGACGTGATAAGCTGCAGTTTGAAATCCAAGGATTATTGTTATTATTATGATGTGCCAAATGGGACCTGGCCCTTCCCAAAGGCAAACTCACCGTTTTTAGCCAACCGGGAATGTTTTGGCTTTCTCATGCCGAAAGCTTCTTTCAGGTACTCGGGGGTGGTGCTGGCACGGCTCACACTGCGGCTAGCTCCGGAGTTGTACTCCGAGTTCTGGGACCGTGTCACACCTGCGACGATGACAATAAGAGGAACTGGATAAGAATTCTCTCCCTCAATCCCTCTGCCTCGCCCCCTCCTTCCCCATTTTCAGATCTCGCCTGAAGATCGTCACCTCCCCTAAGCTTGGCGACAGGCTCCGGCACTTTTAAGTGCTCCAAGACACTATACCGCATGAAAGGCGCTACATAAATACAAGTTGTTGTTGTCATAGACGTCCCCAAATGTGAAATAAAACCCAACATCTCTGCAGTTTGAATTGCCGGTAGGGTAGACTGTCACTGCTCTCTCACTCTGTTTTCCAAACGGATCCATCAAGAGTTTGTCACAACGAATGACACCGATAAAAACATCTAAAACCCACTTTGAGCTGAGAGGAGCCCAGATGTCTTCGAGTCAGGGTGACACCAGGGGGCGTTCCCCCCCCCCCCCCCGCTCTGCATCTCCCAACGCCCTGTCCCTCACTCACCCAGATCCTGCCTGAGCGATGTCAGCCACAGCTCTCTGGGGACCTTGGCTGACGGATGGTGCGCTTGCATCCTTCCCGTTAGTGAATGCCAAACTGGAGATTTCTTTGGCTGCAGACACGAGTTGGAGAGATATGGGGATTCTGAGTGAAAGGAGGAGTCAGTCGGTAACCAGGAATGCAATAATACAGCACGATTCCTATCAAAGGTAAGGAACCCATTCTGATTAAACCAATTGCTATGTGCAATTGGCTGCCGCATTTCAACAACAACAAATTATATTTGTTTAGCGCCTTTCACGTTAGGAGGACGTCCAAGGCGCAGGACAGTCAGGGATCCGCAAAATATAAAATACACAAAAGTCAGGGATTTCGCCCAAAGTACACAATCAATCCACTTTACAGTACATTCTGTGAAGCGATTTGAGACGTCTCATATCAAATGACTCCTTGTCACGTCGTTGCAATAACGCAAGGATTATTATTTTAAAATATAATAAACCCCATCTCCCCGGATACATAGTTACACAGAGGGAGCTCATTCAGCCTCAATCTTCCGTTTCAGTGTTCCCCCCACCCGCACGAGTGCTCGATCCTCCTATTCCTCCCTCTCAAATACGTTGAAGTTTTTTCCTTCAGCCACACTTTACGACAGTGAGTTCCACGCTCCGACCACCCTATTAGATCTACCTTAAAATGGCTTATCAAATGCAAGGATTTTTAATCTTATATTCAAGCCACCCCCCCCACCCACCCATTCGGCCAGGAAAGACACAGAATGACTTGAAATTATTGCCTTCAAGTGCAGAGAGTTCTGAAAAAGTTGTGGATTGTAACAAGGGATTGAGAGACACTAATTTTGTCCTGGGTCAGACCCCCAAGCTGGGTTGTTGTTACTCACTTGGGGATATGGGAGGTTTGCCACTTGCCCTCTTCCTGGGTTTCTGGGTAAGGAAAACAAACCATGTCACAAATTTGATACTTTCCCTTTTATTATCTTACAGTTCACTTCAACCCCATCCTACCCACCGGCAGAGGCAAAGTGGGGTAAATTTTGTGCGTGTGTGGGGGGGGCCTTCAGCAGCAACACAGCACTTTCAGGTCTCGGGGCGCTTAACAGTGGCGGAGTTTGACACCGAGCAGGGGAGAAAGGGGAGGTGACCATAGGCATGGTTGAAGAGGAAAGTCTTTTGGTGCAATCTGAAGACAGGGAAAGGAGGGAGGTGGGGAGGCGTTGGGATGCACGGAAGGCATTACCTTGCTGGTGTCAGATTCGTTGGTAATGATGGTTAGTGTGTCCTCGCCCTGGAAAAGAGAAACACCATTACATACGTCACCAACGCGTGGACGATTCCATGTCTGGAATGGAAAGCGCACTCTCTCTCTCTCTCTCCTCGGAGGGACACATCCCGCTTACCTACTACCGGAGCGTATTGGGTGTAGATTGGCAAGAGCCAAGGCTGGGGGGGGGCCCAGAGTGTGCATTGGGGGGTAACTGCTGGAGTCTAACCAGCTCAAACCGCACAGCTTGCCATTAAGAGCGCCGTCTGGCAAGGTTTCCTGCTGCTTGTCCAGCCAGGACCACCTCCCCCCCCCCCCGGGCACCTCCCAACCCGCCACTCGCTGCCTCTGCTCAACTGGCTCTGGCCCTCGTCCCCTGCGCTCCGCCACCGGCAGCCGGACTTCCAGCTGCTACGCCCCGAAACCCCCGAACCCTCGAACCCTTCGTCTTCCCCCATCGTCAGGTCGCGCTCAAGGACCTTCCTCTTCGACCTCCCCCTCCCCCCCCCCTCCCCAGCTCGGCGTCAGGCTCTCTCCGCCACCGTTTAGCGCTCTGGGACGCTGTCCCGTGTGAAGGGCGCTGTGTAAATACAAGTTGTTGCTGTTGTTGCAGGTCTAACAGGAGCTGAGCGGGAGGAGTCCCTGTCCCCAGTGACTGGTCTGCGGCCCCCTGTGGGGGGGGGGGGGGGGGCTGGGATGAGGCTGCCCGGGGAGGAGGGGGGATTGTCGGGGTTCCAGGGAGACCAGAGCCCGAGGCCTCTCCCGGGTCCTCTCTCCAGACTTGCAGCCCTGGTCACCGGGGGCCTCACCCGCTCCTCCTCCTCCTCCTCCTCCTCCTCCTCGGTCCCCTCAACCGCCGCCAGCGACATGTCGGCGGCGCCCGGAGCTGTTTGACGGCGAGTCTATGGCAACGGCCAAAGGACAACCGCCGCCGCCGCCGCGGGCCGACTGTCAGCTTTCCCGGAGTGATCGGCTGAACGAACGGTGCGGTGCGCGTGTACAATCGAGAGAATGTCGGAATTGTGTGTGGAAGTGTCGCAGTGTATGTGTCACAGCGAGTGTGTGCGTAAGAGTGTCAGTGTGTGTGTGTGTAAGAGTGTCAGTGTGTGTGTGTGTGTAAGAGTGTCAGTGTGTGTGTGTGTGTGTGTAAGAGTGTCAGTGTGTGTGTGTGTAAGAGTGTCAGTGTGTGTGTGTGTGTGTAAGAGTGTCAGTGTGTGTGTGTGTGTAAGAGTGTCAGTGTGTGTGTGTGTAAGAGTGTCAGTGTGTGTGTGTGAGAGTGTCAGTGTGTGTGTGTGTGTAAGAGTGTCAGTGTGTGTGTGTGTAAGAGTGTCAGTGTGTGTGTGTGTAAGAGTGTCAGTGTGTGTGTGTGTGAGAGTGTCAGTGTGTGTGTGTGTAAGAGTGTCAGTGTGTGTGTGTGTGTAAGAGTGTCAGTGTGTGTGTGTGTAAGAGTGTCAGTGTGTGTGTGTGTAAGAGTGTCAGTGTGTGTGTAAGAGTGTCAGTGTGTGTGTGTGTGTAAGAGTGTCTGTGTATGTGTGTCAGTGTGTGTGTGTATCAGAGTGTCAGTGTGTGTGTAAGAGTCAGAGTGTGTGTGTAAGAGTGTCAGAGTGGGTGTCAGTGTGTGTGTGCGTGTGTAAGAGTGTCAGTGTGTGTGAGTGTCAGTGTATGTGTAAGAGTGTCAGAGTAGAGTGTGTGTAAGCGTGTCAAGAGTGTGTGTGAGAGTGTCAGAGTCCGTGTGTGTGTGCGTGTGTGAGAGAGTGACAAAGGTCCCGCTCTTCACTTGAGCAGTTAAACCAATGGCCCATCTTGTGTCATGGTCAATATCTCCGCAGATAAAGATTGATCATTCACTTCATGGCTGTTTGCGGGACGTCGCTGCGGGCAAATTGTTCATGTATTTCCTACAAAATACACAGTCACTACACTTCAAATAAGTGCTTTGGGTAGTGTGGTCCCAGCTTCATAAGAAGTGGGAAGTTTTGCCAGGCTGCGATATCAATGGCAAGCTGTGCAGTTTTAGCTGGTTAGACTCCACCAGTTACCCCAACGAACACTCGGGGTCCCCCCAAGCCTTGGCTCTTGCCAACCTGCACCTAATACTTCCCGGAATTAGTTAAGCAGAATGCGTCCCTCTAAGGAGAGAGAGAGAGAGAGAGCGCATTCCATTTCAACAATCTGTCTCTGGGATTTCCATCCGTCACTGGGATGCACAGGAATCCCAACTTGGTTTGGATACTCTTAAGCATGGCGACGGGTTTCCACACGTGTGTGTCTTTTTCCACGTGTGTCCCAGACGGTGTGTCTGACGCGTGCGGAAACTCACGTTCCGACCAAGGCTCGGGGACCCGAAACGTTGACTCGCTTTCCTCCCTCCACAGAGGCCGCCCTGACCTGCAGAGTATTCCCGTTTTTTGCTTCGTGGTGAAGCGCTGCATCAAATTGCAAGGATTATTATTAAAACTCCGCTGTTGGTGGGGGTTGGGAACTCCATCCCCCAGTGCCTTCGCCGCTTCCTCCCTTTCCTCCTTCAAGGCCGGTCTCAAGACCTTTCTCTCTGACCGTGCCTTCAGCTCCCCTCTCGACTCTCTCCCCCCTCCTCGCCCCCTCCCTTCCCTCCCCTCACCCTGACCATTTCCCCCTTCCTCGGGTCCCGACCCAACTGTCCAGCGCCTCGGGACGTCCTCCCGACGTGAAAGGCGCTCTATAAATGGAATCTTGTTGTTGTTGTTGTTGTTGTGGGGGGGGGGTTTCAGTCGGCCCCTGAAGCCAATCGATTCCTCCTGGGAGGGGCGGGGCGATGGGGAAGGGGGCGGGGCGATGGGGAAGGGGCGGGGCGATGGGGAAGGGGGCGGGGCGAGGGGAAGGGGGCGGGTACCAGGCTGGGCCACGCATGCGCACCAGGGCTGGAACCCCTACCTGCCTGAGAAATCAGACAAAAAGTTTCATTGAACAGTTTTTTTAAAAAAAGTTATAAACTTTTTACCCCCAACACCACCACCAACAAAAAGGGGAGAGAGGAAAATATATATATATATATATATATATATAAAGATGTCTTAACAGAGAGAGGAGAGAGAGAGAGACAAAAACACTTTGAATGAAAATCCTCTTGAAATACTTTGTGGCTTTTTGTGTGTGTGTGTGTGTGGGGTGAGTGTGTGTGTGGGGTGTGGGGGTGTGGGTGGGATTTACAATTTAATGTTTAATAGGTGTGTTGTTTCTTGGTCCTGAGATAATCACACGGCAACACTCACATGACTGGAGGAGCCTGGACATGGAGCCTGAAGTTAACGAAGGTAAGAGCTTGGTGGGGTTGGCTTGCAAAGCTTGCAACTTCTCCCTCTCTCTTCCCCCTCTCTACCTCTCTCCTCCTCTCTGTCTGTCTGTCTCCTTCCCTCTCTCTGTCTGTCTGTCTGTCTCCCTCCTTCCCTCTCTCTGTCTGTCTCCCTCCTTCCCTCTCTCTGTCTCCCTCCCTCTCTCTGTGTGTCTCCCTCCCTCTCTCTGTGTGTCTCCCTCTCTCTGTCTGTCTCTTCCTCTCTCTGTCTGTCTGTCTCCCTCCCTCTCTGTCTGTCTGTCTGTCTCCCCCTCTCTCTCTGTCTGTCTCCCTCCCTCTCTGTCTGTCTGTCTCCCCCTCTCTCTCTGTCTGTCTGTCTCCCTCCCTCCCTCTCTCTGTCTGCCTCCCTCTCTCTGTCTGTCTCCCTCCCTCTCTCTCTCTCTGTCTCCCTCCCTCCCTCTCTCTCTCTGTCTCTCTGCCTTGTCTTTGTATTGATTGATTTTTTTTTCTTTCTTTCATAGAAATAGCAACACCTTAAATCCTCAGGTTTGAACTTTCCCCAATTAATTCATTAAATCAATTACAAAAAAAAGGCCAAAGTTTTAGAAAAAGATTTCACCCACCCATCCAGGAAAGATAAAGTTTTGAACTAAACTTCCACTTAATCATGAGATGTTCAACTTTTTTTCAAAAAAGGTAGGATTTTTACACCTCCCTCCCTCCCTCTCTCTCTCTCTTTCTCCCCCCCATCCAACACACAATTAAACAAAGATTTGCAGCAAGAATAAGATCCCCCCTCCCCCCAAAAAAAACTAAAACGATTTGAACAAAAATGCGGGTGATTCCGACACTAATGAAATCTCCAGCTTTATGGATCGAAACTAAACGAAGTAGATTTTCGTGTTTAGTTAAAAGTTAAAGTCAAAGGTAGGAGTTTGAATAAAAATCAAATTATCTGTGAGATATAAGAGAGAGAGAGAGAGAGATGAGGAGGGGAAATAAGATGAACTCCCAACTGATTTTTTTTAAAAAAAACTTTAAAAAAAAGGTAGTAAAAGTTTCTACAGAGTTTGGGGGGTATTTGGCGAGAAGATAGACGTGGCAGTGTTGCTCTGAGGTTCTTGGAAAGTATCGAGATTAAGATTTACTCTGTGAGGTTCAGAAAAAGGGAATTTTTTTTGGGGGGTGGGTGGGTGGGGGGGAGGAAAGTAACTAGAATTCACACTGTAACTGCACAAGAATGTGTCAACTTGCAAGTTTCTAAGCTGCAGTATATAAAATGTCAAATGTTATTTTTTTCTGTGATGTGTGTTTTTTTTGGTCTGGGACAAATTCTTCAAAGAGAGAGAATATTTGTTCACCCGGGCTCTAGTTTTGTATGGTATGGTGGAGAAATGGATGGAATGAAATTTGAAACTGCTGCTATTTTTACTGCGCTTATTCTATTTAAAAGTGGCATTGCTATGGGTGAAGTGCATTTAGCCTATTTTCTGTTCTTTTGTGTGTGTTTTTAAAATTGCTTGTGCTTGTCTTCAGCGAAAGGGCAACAATTTGCCCCCCGAAGGTAAATGAGGTTAGGGGGAGCTTTAGTTAGTTAGTCTAGTCAGTTGGCAGCGGGTTATTGTGCAGAAATTTGTATTGAATTGTTCACTTCACCCTCGTAAACCACATGCTGGGCACGTGCCTTTGCTTCGAGTTTCAAATCTGGTAGGAATGTGCTGCTGGGCACCTGAATGGCTGAGGCGATATAATAATAATCCTTGCATTTCATACAGCGCCTTATCACATCGTTGGGACTTCTCAAAGAGTTTAACAGAATATATTGTAAAGTGAATTGACTCTTTATTTTGTGGACAAAATGCGGCAGCCAATTGTGCACAGCAGTGTTCCACAAACGGTTGTAGATTGAGTGACCAAATTCTTTTTTGGAGAGATTATTTTCCCTAGAAAGCAGTCAACCAAATCAACTAACAACTGGGTCCCTACTTACTCCTAGGTAAACAGAGGTGTGTGGAGTAAGGAAACTTGCCTAAGATTTCGCCCTGCCTGGGAATCGAACTCAGGTCCTCTCGCTTACAAGGGTCCTCTCGCTTACAAAGCTAACCAGTACACTACCCAACAGGACAATTTATCTAGGCTGAGGATGAACGCTGCATTAGCAGTTGGTCGGGTGAGACATTAAACTGCAGACTCACCCGCGGACTCACTCGCCTGTTTTTCAGCTGGATGTTAAAGTTCCTGTAATGTTGTTAAGAGAAGGGCACTTCCCTTCCTGGGGTTCTAGCCAGCAATCCACCAGGTTAATTGGCTGTTCACCCCGTGCCTGTGTTTGGGGCATTGTTGGTGCAAACGCTGCTGCGTTTACCTACAAATACACAGTCACTACACTTAACAGCAGTTACCTGTGAAGCGGTATCCTTGCTTGTGACGAAGGGCTATAAAAATGCAAATTCCTTCTCATTAAAAGCGCTTTTTTTTAGGTGAGCCGGGTGTCCGACACATGTGGAAAGCCATCAACATGCTTAAGAGTCTCCAAACCAAACTGAGAATTCCATGATTCCTACACATGGAGATTCCAGAGATAGATGAAAGCTCTGTTCATGGGGGCAATGAGTCATGTATTGTCATCAAAAGATGACAATTGGAAGCAAGGACCCTATGTTGTTTTCTTAATTCAGTCTTTCCCCTCCTAACCCAGGCTGCTGTGTAATCAATAATAATAATCCTTGCATTTGATATAGTGCTCTATCACATCTCTGTTTTTATCACCCCCCCCATCCCCCATTGCTACCCCGGTTGAGATAGCATAGTGGGTTGATCAAACCTAACCCTCTGTTTCAGATGCTCACTCACTGTGTGTGTGTGGAGGGAACATTTGTTCAGCATGTGGGTGAGAGGGAAGTGGATTTTGGAATTTAAATGCTTAGCACATTGTGTTGTGTCTGCGTGGCTGTGAGCAAAATGAAAGCGAGCAGTCCAATGCAGAGCTTGAGACTGTGTCCATACTTATTTTTTGGTCAGCCAAGTGTGTGACGCATGTGGAAACCCATCATCGTGCTGGTAACTTAGGGTTAGAGCACTCACCTTGCAAGCAAAAGGACCTCGGTTTGATTCCTGGTTGGGGTGAAACGTTGGGCAAGTTTCCTTACTCCACACTCCTCTGTTTACCTAACAGTAAGTAGGAACCCGGTTGTCAGTCGATTGGTGGATCACTTTTCCGGGGATGATAATCCCTCAAAAGAAATAATAATAATTTGGTCACTCAATCCAAGACACTGGGACACTGCTGTGTGCAATTGGCTGTTACGATTAGTCTACAAAATATGCAATCAGTTCCCTTTACAGTATATTCTGTGAAGTGTTTTGAGACGTCTCAAAGCCATGACAAGGCATTCGACCAAATGCAAGGATTGTTATTATTAAGAGTCATGTTCTGCTTACCTAATTCCGGAAAGTATTAGCTGCAGGTTGGCAAGAGCCAAGGCTTGGGGACCCCAGAGTGTGCGTTGGTGTAACTGTTGGAGTCTAACCAGCTAAAACCACATAGCTTGCCTTTGAGAGCACAGTCTGGCAAGCTTTCCCACTGCTTGTCCAGCCAGGACCACTTACCTGTAAGGAGTTTGGCTTGCATGGTTGTCAGGCGGAGGACAGTGGCTTGGGAAGGAGAGCTGAGGCCAGCACTCAGAAAGTCCCCGTCAATATCGGTGACATGATACTGTTGAGGATGTGGTTGGGGATTTTTGCCGGGGAAGTGCTGAGGGACCTCCGCTTGCGTCAGACCTGCTGGGATTGTCCATTACTCTTTGCCAACGGCTGATTCCGGGACTGTTTGCGGAGACGTTAATGCGAGCAAATTGGCTGCCATATTGCCGATAAAACACACGGTCGCTACACTTTACCGTGCATTTTGCAAAGCGCTTTGAGATGTCCTCCCGACTTGAAAGGAGCTGCATACAATGTAAGATTATCACGTGTATTTACTTACTTGTTTTAGCTGTGCATTTCCGCTGTGTTGTAGGAAAACCTCAGGCTAATTCACAGCTTCTTTCAATGGCAGGTTCTGTGCCTCCGTATTACAGAGAGGTATATGAAGCGATCTGCTGTAAGCGCGAGGATCGAGTGCAGAGGAATGTGTTCCACACGTTGCTGAACAGGACTGAGTTGCCCACCGCTGTACAGAACCAGGTAACTCAGCAGCTCATTGCTAGTAAATAATAATATAATAATAATATCCTTGTATTTGATATGGCGCCTTATCACATCGTTGAAACGTCTCAGCGAGGACATGAATGGTAACTAATTCATCTAATTGAGGTGTTTAAATTGATAAAGAGATTTGATAGGGTAGATACATCAAAACTATTTCCTCTGGTGGGTGGGTGAATCCAAAAGGTTTCTGGGGGGAGTATTAAATAGAGCTAGGCCATTCAGGAGTGGAATCAGGAGGCAGTTTTTCACTTAATGGGTAGTGGAAATCTTGAATGCTCTTCCTCCAAAGGCTGTGGATGCTAGATCCATTCACATTTTCAAGACTGAGGTTGATAGATTTTTTTGTGGGGTAATATTACTATTTTCATCTTGTGCTTCTAGATCGCTGAGATTATAGAGTGTAAGGAGGAGCCCATCTCCAGGTCAGTCCTGTACAAAGCTCTGGTGCTTATCGCTTTCGCACAACAGGGAAAACAGCCCTCAGCAAAGCTCCTGGAAAACGTCACACAAGGTACAGTGACATAGCCCTGTCTTTCTAGGACATGGTGGTGATGATAATAATAAACTGTGCGTTTGATATCATGTCTTTTCATGTCAATGAGTCAAAGCGCTTCACAAGTGTGGGGGGGGGCAAATGAAATTGGTCCACAGGCCGCCCTGACCTATAGTAATCTTCTTTGTTCCGAAGACTTTCCGAAACCTGAGCTGGGGGCTCCTGGTGAGCTGGAGGCGGTGAGGATGCAGGCGCAGGCAAACCCGATCCTGGTGTGCCGGAGCCTGCCTGAACTCATGGCCATCGACACGGTGGAGGTGGAGCTCATTCCTGAGAAGAAGGGCCTTTTCCTCAAACATGTGGAATATGAAGTTTCCAGCCAGGTGTGTGGTGTGGATCCAGCTTTGCTAGTGAGACGTTCATCCCACTAACCCTGCCCCCACACACACACCCACACACCCACACCCCTTCCAAGCTCTGGTGTGGCTCAGCACTGCCTGTGACTTCTAATAATATAATAATCTTTACATTTGATGTAGCCGGGTGTCTGACACATACAAAGGCCCATCACCGTGCTTAAGAGTATCCAAACCAAACCGAGAATTCCATGATTCCCATCTACGCATGGAAATCCCAGAGGTAGATTGTTGTCATGGATGTGCACTCTCTCTCTCTCTCTCTCCCTGTAGGGATGCATTCCTGCTTATCTAATTCTGGAAAGTATAAGGCGCAGGTTGGCAAGAGCCAAGGCTTGAGGCTTGGGCGGGTCATGATAGCTTGCTCGCTCTTGTACAGTGATTTTTCGCGAAGGATGAATATGAGACCTTGTCTGATGCGTGTGTTTTTTTCCCCCCCCCCCTCTCTCTCTCTCTCGCTCTCCTCTGGCAGCGTTTCAAGTCCTCTGTGTACCGGCGTTACAATGATTTTGTGGTGTTTCACGAGGTGCTTCTGCAGCGATTTCCTTATCGCATGGTGCCCACCTTGCCCCCAAAGAGAATGCTTCGAGGTGAGACTGAGCCCACAAGATGGTGCATGTTGCAGTGCAACTGGCTCCACAGATGTAGTCAAGAGGAAGAATTTATTTCCTCTGGTCGGTGATTGGTTGGAGAGCAGCGGTTTTTAGATAGTTAGCAAACTGAGAGGTTAGGAGACTTTTTTTAATGTACTCCTCCCTTACTCTGGACCTATTAAAACTTCACCAACGTGTCCGCTCAGCACGCGGACCTGCTTCATGTCCCCCGCCCTCCCCGCTCCACTGTCGGAGGTCAGACCTTCAGCCTTTCTGTTCCCACCATCTGGAACTCCTTCCCGGAGCCCCTTCGCCTCGCCTCCTTCAAGGCCCATCTCAATACCTTCCTCTTCGACCGTGTCTTCGTCATTTTCCCTCTCCAACCCCCCCACCTTGCCCTCTGCTTCTCTCTGATCCCAACCTTCAGCTGGGGTGCAACCCCCACATTGTCCAGTGTCTTGGGACATCCTCCCGACGTAAAAGGCGATATTTGCATGCAAGTTGCTATTGTTCTAAGTCAGTTATGGTGCACCCGGTGTAAGTCCCCTGAGTGTACAGGAGAACCTGGGATGTGTGGCATTGTGTGATTTTATGACAGCTGGCGCATGTGGGGGGGGGAGTGGGGGAGGAATCCTTGCCCGGTATCTTGCGTGTGGAAGACATGTTTTGGTTTTGTTCTCTCTGCAGTTGACCGGGAATTCATCGAGTCTCGGCGCCGTGCTCTGAAGCGCTTTGCTAACCTGGTCGCTCGTCACCCCTTTTTCTCCGAGGATGAGCTTCTCCAGGTCTTCCTGTCTTTCAGTGGCTCCGTGAGTAACTGAACAGAGCTGGGCTGGGCTGTGCCTGGAAGTGTGAGCAGTGGTCTGTGAGCTGTGTGTGAGCGATTTCCAGCCAGCGCCAACCAATCTATTTATCCTCTTCAACAACAAATTCCATTTACACAACGCCTTTCAGACAGTTGAGAGTTTTGTGCAGGGTTCCGATTAATAGTCTCAGAAATCTGAGACCACTATTAGATTCCTCGCGTCTGGTCCGATGAAAACGCCCCCGAGTTTCAAGCCTGTTTCGTAACAACAACTTTTCATCTGTGGTGCTTTCTTGGCTCAGCTGGTAGTGCTCTCTGGCCTCAGAGTCAGGTGGCGGCCGAACCTTCAGCCGCTCTGCCACCACCCTCTGGAACTCCATCCCGCAGTCCCTCCGCCTCGCCCCTCCCTTGCCACCTTCAGGATCTTCCTATTCGACTGTGCCTTTGGTCACTCTCGTTCCGCCCCCCACCCCCCCAACCACCTTGCTCTCCACCCTCCCCGATCCCCAGCTCGGATCCGAAACACTGATTGTCCAGCGGCTTGGAACGTCCTTTCGTCGTGAAAGACGCTATACAAATGTAATGTGTTGTTGAGACATTGGACTTTAAGATCTCTTTATGCATACGTACCACGTCTTGGTGCGTGGTAACAGTGTATGTTTAAAACTTAAATCTCTCTCTTGTTAAAAGGATGTTCAGAACAAAATCCGGGAATCGTTCCGAGGTGTTGGTGATGAGTTCATGACGTGTGAAATAGCAACTACTGCCAAGGTAACTGGTCAGGAATAGCGATGTGCAGTCCTATAGCGTAGAGTTTAGAGCACTCACCTCGCAAACAAGAGGACCCGGATTCGATTCCCAGGCAGGGTGAAACCTTAGGCAAGTTTCCTTATTCCACACGTCTCTATTTGCTTAGCAGTAACTTGGAACCCGGTTATTAGTCGATTACCAGATCGCTTTCTGGGGGTAATACATATATATACTTGGTCACTCAATCCACGACTGTTTGTGGAACACTGCTGTGCACAATTGGCTGCCACGTTTCGCACACAAAATATACAGTCACTATTTTTTTCAATGTATTCTGTGAAGCACTTTGAGACGTCTTGAAGACGTGACAAGGTGGTATATCAGATGCAGGGATTATTATATTCTTATTATAAAATGCTCCATGGTTTTCCGCTTCCCCAGGATCTGCTGCCTCCCGACATCCAGGCTCAGTTTGGGGCCAGCCGGGAGCTGATCAGGAACATTTACAACAGTTTCCACAAGCTGAGGGACCGGGCCGAGAGGATGGCCTCCCGCTCTGCTGACAACGCCACCGATCTCCTGTTGTTCGGGAAGGAGCTGAGGCGAGTATAGCGCTGGCACAACAGGAGCTGCGGGGGTCTGGGGTCTTCTGAGGTCTTTCCTTCTCTCTGGAACTCTATCCTACTGCCGTAGTATTTCAAAAGGAAAAAATGTGCAGGGCTATGGGGTACGAGCGGGGCAGTGGGACTAGTTGGTAGCTCTTTCAAAGAGCCATCATAGGCATGAAGGGCCAAATGGCCTTCTTCTGTTGCTGTAAGATTCTAGAATTCATTGGCTTGGGAACCCTGACGAGCGTCCCTCAGCTCAGAGAGGTGGGGGGGGGTGGGGGGAAGAGAGGGGCAGTGGGGAGATAGAAAGTGGGAGGGCGCTTGACTCCTTCTGTTCCTCCCCCACCCCAACCCCCCACCACCACCACCCCCATACGAACCAGCTTGTAGCTTGTATCAACCTGAGGTCTTCCGCTCAGAGATATGTAATTATAAGTGTTGAATATTTAGTCCAGGTTTCTGCCAGCGTAAATTGGCAGCGAAACTCATTGAATGCGAGGGTTGCTTACAGCTGCTCTTAGCAAGTCAGGAGATGGGGGGGGAATGGGGGGCTTGAACAAGGAAGCACGTCCTGCCTCGGGGCACAGGATAAATTGCATTGAGGAGGACGGGGGTGGGGGGCTTGCGTTAGAGCTGTCAATCTGTCTCATTGAATCACACTCTCTCCTCCAGGTTGGAGTTTGTGGTAAGGGTTGACATTCAGTATGTTCTCTAATCCAGGGTTACATTGAGATGTTTGACAATACTTTGACCTGTTTCCTGTGTCCTGTTTTAACTCCCCGCCCAGCCCGTCCGTAAGTAATTCACCAACAACTGAATAATAATCCCTCCAAAACAATAATTAATTGGTCATTTTCAATCCACAACTGTTTGTGGGACATTGCCTTGTGCAATTGGCTGCTGCGTTTCGCCCACAAATATATGGTCAATTCACTTTACAGTCTATTCTGTGAAGCGCTTTGAGACGTCGAGAAGATGTGAAAAGCGCTACATCAAATGCAAGGATTATTATTATTATTACTTCTTTCCCCTCCCAGCTTTATTGTACAAAGTGTCCACAAAGTCCTGTTACCCCCATGTTTTTTTTCCCCTCCTATAGTGTACTGACCAACAACTGAAGCGTGTGGAAGAATGTTGCTAATTGTACTTAGAAGTACTTACAGTACTTAATTGTTTTCAGTATAAGTGTTTAACTGTATTTAGATGTCCAGAGGAACATGCACCAGTGCTAGTGAGTGTGAGCTTCATCATTTTCATGGCAGATAATGATCAGTCCCCAAGTTTGGTGCCACATCTTCTGTAACAAGGATGGAGTGAGAAGGAAGTTACTGGTATCAGACATTGTTACACTCGACTCATCTGCAACAGAAAATAAAAATTCATTGTGATAAAGAGAGCGAAAAAACGCGGTAACAGGAGTTTGTGAACACCTGTAGGTGCTCACTGTTGACTGATGTTAAGTTTCCTTACTCCACACGCCTCTGTTTACCTAGCCGTAAGCAGGATCCCGGTTGTTAGTCGATTGGCGGATCGCTTTCCGGGGGTAATAATCCCTTCCAAAAAAAAATGTGGTCACTCAATCTACAACTGTTTGTGGGAAGCTACTGTGTGCTGTTGGCTGATGCGTTTCACCCACAAAATACAGTCACTCCACTTTACAGTATATTCTGTGAAGCTCTTTGAGCTGTTTCAAAGACATGATAAGGCACAAGGATTATTATTAATACTGTAGTAATGGCTGATGTGATGAAGTAAGATTAGCTGCTGTGATGTAAATCTCTCGCTCTGCTCCTGTGTTGCAGTACTCTGGGCTCGGACACCACACCGGTGCCCTCCTGGGCTTCAGTGACCAGTAACACGTGGGGTTTGCTGAGGCAGGCGCTCAGGGGCCTCTCTGTGGAGTTCGCTTTACTCGCTGATAAGTCAGCACAACAGGTAAGTCCACCCAACACTCAGCCGAGTGTCTGACATGCGCACACACACGCACACAGACACACATACACAACCACACCCCAAACTGTCTCCAAACCAGACTGACAGTCCACCTCTGTGCACATGGATATTTCCTTCTGTCTGGAATGGAATGTGCACTCCCTGCCTAGCCAACTCCAGTGAGTATAACAACAACTTGCACTTATATTGCTTCCTTCACTCAGGACAGCGTCCTGTAGTGCTTAAGGCACAGGCTGGCGAGAGACGAGGCTCTGGGGGGTGGGAGCCTAGAGTGTGCAATGGAGATAACTGCTAGAGTTTAACCAGCTGATCCCACATAGCTTGCCAGAAAGCCAGTGCTATCTGGAACTTGCAAACTCAAACTGAATAATATTCATACATCCTCAGTTTCATTCCAAATTGGAAAATAATGCTTTGACCAAATTGGTAAATTTTTCAAAATTCTGTCCAAATTGGAGCACAATTTTTTCTTTTTGTTTGTTTTGTATACTGTGTATGTCGTTCCCTCCACAGCTGTTTGCGGGACACGGTTGTGCGCAAACTGGCTACTGCATTTCGCTCCACAAAATACACAGTCGCTACACTTTACAGAGTATCCTGTGAAGCGCTTTGAAATGTCTCGAGGATGATGAGATGTGATAAGGCGCTGTATCAAATGCAAGGATTATTATTGTTCAGACCACTGCCTGCCAGGCTTCCAGCTGCTTGTCCAGCTAGGACCACCCGATCCGTTAGGGCTTTAGTTCAGGCGCCAAGTGGCAAGAATCCCTGCCCTGAGCGACCGGAGGGTGGTTCTAGCTGGACAAGGTGTCACAGCCTGTGGCTGGAGTTGTTCCTGAGTGGGAGTCGGTGGTGTGGGGAGAGAGTGACGATGGACAGTCTGATCGCAATGTGGTATTGTTTACTGTATCCGTGTCTATCTCTGTTTGTGGCAGGGAAAGCGAGAGGAAGAGGAGGTGGTGGAAAAACTCAGCATCTTCCTCGATTTGCTGCAGTCTTACAAAGTGAGTGAGTTTTACAGCACGGCTGTAGGGAGAGCCACACCTGCGGTGAGGGGGAAGGTGTCGCTGGGGTTGGGGGGCAGGGAATTGACTGAACGTACTTTGCTCCCTCACCCCTTTCTACCCCAGTTATTCCTTGTGTGTGTGGGCGTGGTGTGTGTGTATGGTTGGTGTGTGGGCATGTATTGTGGGTGTGGTGTGGGTTGTGCGTGCGTGTTTGCGTGCCTGTGCGCGTATGTGATGTGTATGTGCGTCTCTCCTCCTTTCCCGGTTCAGGATTTGTGCGAGCGGCACGAGAAGGGGGTGTTGCACGAGCACCAGCGAGCGCTACAGAAATACACGTCTATGAAGCGGCAGATGATGAGTGTGACGGTGCAGAGCAAGGAGCCGCTGTCTGTGGAGCAACTGGAGTCTCGCATTGTGCAGGTGTGACCGGGTGGCGAGTGGGAGGGAGAGGGGTGGCCCTGATACATACTGTCAAAAAGCAGGAGACACAGAGTCAGATGGATGGGATACACTCATTTGGTAGCATTGTTGCCTCTGTGTCAGAGGTTGTGGGTTCAAGCCCCCACGTCGGGGACTATATCGTACAGTGTTGGAGGTGTCGTCCCTTCCAGTGAGACCATAAACCGAGGTCTCATCTGCGCCTCATCAGGTGGATGTTAAAGGTCTCCCTCAGCACGACTTGAGAAGAGAATTTCTCTCTCTGATGCCCCGGCCGACAATCCCCCAGATAAAATTGGTCACTCACTTCATGGCTGTTTGTGGGATGTTTTGCTGTGCTCAAACTGGCTGCCGGGTTCACCGACAATGCACACAGTCACTACACTTCACAGTAAATCATGTGAAGCTCTTTGGGATGCCCTCCGAAGTGAAAATTGCTGTATCAGAGGGAGAGAGAGGGGAGAAGGAGGGGGATGAACGGACGTGAAAAAGAGATATCCAGGGTTGGGAGTCAGGACCTAATGTGAAATGGTGTTGAAGATGGAAAGTGTTTTGTGTTAAATCCGTGCTCTCGTGTTTCAGCAAGAGAACGCCATCCTGAACATGGAGCTGCGCAATTACTTCTCCATGTACTGCCTTCACCAGGAAACCCAGCTCATCCACATCTACCTGCACATCACGTCTCACGTGCTGACCGCCTTCATCGACTCCCAGATCCAAGGCCACAGAGAGGTACGGACCCACCAACCTGTGGGCATGGGTTGTCCTGGTAACTCTTCAACTCTTAAACCCCCAGGAACTCTGCTCTTTATAAGCAATAATTAATAAGTACCCACATTGCACAAGTCACCAGGCTCCACTGGCTCCCCATCACAGAATGGATTGACTTCAAGGTCCTCACACTGTTCTACGAATTGCTTTACACCTTTGGTCAGGCATGTGTCTGACACGTGCGGAAACCAACACTATTCTCCAAACCAGACAGATATGCATGTATGTACACCACCTAGATATGGAACAGATTACAGGCCCTCTCTCCATGCCGCTTAACTAATTTGGAGAGTATTAGGTGCGTGTTGGAAAGAACCAAGGCTTGGGTACCCCAGATTGTGCATTGGAGTAACTGCTGGAACCAGTTAAAACTGTATAGCTTGCCATTGAGAGTGCTGTCTGGCAAGCCTTCTTGCTGCTTGTCCAGCTAGGACCACCCTATCCATTAGGGCTTTGGCTTGCGGGCATAACGGGACCTGAGTGGGAGGATTCCCTGCTACAGTGACTGGGCTGTCCTTCTACAGTGCCCTGGAATCCTGTGAACCCGCCTGGCTCAGTAACCGCACTAATGTGGCTGATGTTTTGTGTATAAGTGTAACATGTGTTTCTTCTCTCCAGATGTGCGAGGTGTGGAACGACTTGAAGCCGAAGCTGGGCTGCCTCCTGCCCAACGGGACCCCGTCACCCCCTGTGTCCCCAAGGCCTGGAGCCTGGCACAACCCCAGCACCTTCTTCCCCCAGTGACATTCCACAGCATTCTTGCGCTGTTGGGGGGGCAATTTTCAAAGGCGGGAGAGAAGAGGTTGTGCGAAGAGTGGACTTAATTTTTCCTTTCGCTTCATCTGTACAACATTCTGGTTGTTATTCCTACTTCTCCTGACTTTGGTTTGAAAGTTTTCCCGAGACTCAGGCTTCTCAGTAGTGAGTAAGTTTCCTCTTCTCCGGCCTGCTGTGACCTTGGCTGGGAGACCGTTGGGCTATTTCTCTGGCTGTTGTGTGGTTTTCCCTGTGTTACTGTGATTAGAGACCAGCTCACAGTGAGGCTAGTGCTCTGTCAGGAAATCTTTGAAACTCTTGAACTGAGCTGAAATATAAGCCTCGTGTGTGTGGGAGGGGAACTAGACACTCCAGGAAAAAAGGAACAGTCACATCAGTGTAAAACCCATTTCTACACTGTTGTGCTGACTGCTGCTTCCTGCTGCTAGTTGTCACTCAGCAGCCTTCCTAGTTGCCGCAGGACATTTCATCTCCCCTCTTTCTCCCCCTCCCCCCCCCCCCCCCCCCCCACAGGGTAGAGGGGTGTATGATCTCAGCCAAAGCGCGTTACAATCTAATCAGTTCCCATGTGTGCAACTGTGTCCAGCTCTGTCGTGCTGGTCGCGAACACTTGCTGTGTTAACCACACGCAGTTCACATCACTCCAGCCGTAGTTTTATATCATCCAATGTTGGGGAGGCAAGGGTTAATAACATGGGGTCCTGGTGGGGTGGATTGGTGGGTGGTGGGATGGGGTAAGAAAGGATTAAAGGTTGGGTGCTGTAGGTGCTTAGTTGAGTGAGTGTGTGTGTGTGTGTGTGTGTGTGTGTGTTTGCAGAGGCTTCAATCTCAGCCCTAGGATTAACAGTTCCCAGTCACTGAATAACTGGAATATTTTGGGCCCCAAGTCTGTTGGACAGAAGAGGTTGTACTGTGCCCAGCGAGCACCACAGGAAATTCCACAGCTCTCTGGATTCCTATCACAGCACTGAGGCCTTTCCTCCAGCGCGCTTCAGCAACTCTCCATCAGGAATTGGCCTTGCTCGCAGATTTGCAGTTAAGTTGTTTGTTTTTCGTGTCCAATAGTTTAAAGGACGTGAGGGATCTGGGGGGAGCGTGACGGAGGGGTGGGGGGTGGGTTTCTGTGGAGCCCTCTGAGTGGGTAGTGAGAGGTACCTTGTTTCTCCACATCTCCTACGGGAAGTGGAGCGTTGGCACTTTGGGATGGGGGTGGGCGGGGGTGTGGGTTGCGTTGTAATCATACGCGAACAGCAACGGTTTTGAGAGTGGTTTGATTCGCTTGTTAACCCACGCAGTGCTGGGCTCCGACGATTTAAATTGATCCATTTGATGTCATGGTTCCGCAGAGTCCCCAGAGTGATAGTTTAGGGTTCGGTTCCCCAGTTTTTCCATTACGCCCTCCCTCACCCCACCCCACCAACCTCCCAAAGCTGGGTCCTTTATTTCTGCTGTGTTACTGTGTGTAAGGTTCTCTCTCTCTATGTACGGTGAGGAGGCAGTCAGGAGCGAGCTGCTTTTTCACACGTTCTGCCAGAGGACGCCAATAAATAAGAGGTGGGAGTTGCTCTGTGAGCCCAATCTTGTATTGACGCCAGTTGAGGAACTTGAGCCTGAGCTGGAAACACACTCAGAACAACAGAGTTGGTTTGTTTATTTGCCTCCCGAATGATGGGATATCTGGTTACAGTTAAACGATTACTTGCAATTAACCATTAACCACCAGCATTAAGCTATTAATTTGTCAGCCAAGGTATAGCATAGCCTTAAGCACACCCTCTGTACCGTTTGTTCATGTTGTGTGCTTCAATGTCCTCCCCCCCTTCCCTTTCCCCCATTACATTAACCTTGAAGCCTGATACCATTTGAGGACCTGAGATGCTGACTCAGTTATAAAACGCAGGAGGTTTCAAAAAAATGTTCCCATTGCAAACCGTGTTCTTGCAGTTTCCGTCCTGGAGTCAGCCCCCCCCGAGCCACTTTGTGTCTAAACAGGAAGGCTGGCTTCAAAGGAGATGTTTTCCAGTTAAAGGGAGGAACTGATGAGAGAAGAAGCTTTCACTGCCTTTTGTACTTTGCCAGGTGCCTGACGTCAGGCTACTTCTTGTTGGCTGATGTGCTTGGAGTTGTGTTGTTAAGTAACCAAACCCCCCCCACCTCTCTCTCTCTCTCTAGGAGAGGAGGAAAGATTTGTTAAGTCAAACTATGAAATCTGTATGTGTGTGTGTGTGGGCAAGTGTGGGGAGAGAGGGTGACGACCTCCAGTTCTGACCTTGTGTGTGTGTGTATGTCACTCGCTCTGTGTTAAGATGAGGACTTGGTGGACTGGAGATGGAAGGATCTGTCCGCAGGCTGCTCCCAGAGACATCAACTCCCCAAACTTGTTTTTTCCTGTGACAGGATGAAATGAGACGGGGCCTGGAATGGGTTTTCAGTGACAAGACCAGTGTGTTAAATAACTGCGTATGGAGGCTGGAGCCTTTACGTTTCCTGTCCTTTCTTTCCCTCCCTCCCCCACTTCCCTTACAGTATGTTCTGTGAAGCGCTTTGAGACGTCTCAATGACGTGATAATGTGCTATACCAAATGCAAGGATTATTATAATTATTATTATTCCCTCCTTCCTCAAAAACAAGGGCAGCAAAAGCACCACAGTTTCCAAACTTCCCTGGGACTGTGCAGAGTGCTTAGGGTTTCCACACTTTCTCAGTTCAAGGAACTGAGTTCAGATCCAGCAGTGACACTTTGTGGGGCGAAGTTCTGTTTTTTTCCTGTAAAGGTTTCTTTCCCGAATTCAATGGTCTCAGAAACACTGATTTGGTTTTCCCCCACCCACACTCACGCACGCACTGGATGTGGACGCACTAAATTGCCAATCTCACTCGCAGGCAGCCACTGAAGCCTGCAGTTCACATTCTATATATGAACGATGTGTTTATAGTGATATATTTCCCTCACCTCCCACTATACCTCCCTCTGAGAATGAACATACACTTCAAACTGTCTGATTACGACAAGTAGCCACACTACAGCCTTCAACACTTCCTGCCCTTGACACTGTGCAGCCAGGGGTAAGGAACGGTTAGAAAAAGGTGACTTTGAATGTAAGATACCAGCTCCCTCGTGGCTGCCAGTGTGGCAACCGAATCCATGGTGCTGCAGTGAAGCTTTTCCTTCGTATCCCGAACCATTTTGCCCGCAAAATGCACACTTTACAATATTATCTGTGAAGCACTTTGAGATGTCTCAACGACGAGATAAGGTGCTATGCAAGGATTATTATTAATAATCTAGCATTTGCTGTTCTTTGTGTTCCTCCTCATTACCCCATCCTACCCCCACTTCTCTCTCCTCACCTCATTTCAACTCTGAAACCTTATAACTGGATGCCAATGTAGCTTGTATGTTTGCTCTCCTCATTTTACCCAGCGTTGGAAAATGCAAGAAGCTGTTTAAGCCCTGGTTCTAAGTAGCTCTTTGTCTCGTCTATGTGTGTCTGTCTGTCTGTGTGGAAGATGTTTACAGTGAGAATGTTTAGACTATGAGTGATTCTTACCAACAGCAAAGTAGCACTGTATTTACCTGCCTTATATAAAACCTTGCCTTGCATTATCGGGTGCCAACAGTAAGCTAATTGTAACCGGAGTTGCTGCCTGGCGAGTGATCTCAAGTTAGGGTCCATTTTCCCCTCTGTTCCGCAGCGAAGGTTTTTTTGTTTTTGAAGCACTTTACTGAATAATTGGAACGTTATCGAGATAGCATACAGAAATAGTCAGCAAATGCATTGGTTTACAATTACAAAATATATCTACTGTTTATATGAATTAATACCTACAATAAATTTATACTATATAATTAACCAGTTGACTTTTTTTCTCTCTGTATTTTTTTTCAGCACTTTGGGACATGCTTCCTCCCATAAAAGGCCCTATACAAATATAATTTGATGTCGTCGTTGTTTTCTCCCCTCGGTTTCTCTCTCACCCTCTATCCTTTCTCTCTATACCCCCGGTAAGAGATTCCAATGGAGAAGACCAATACGGTGGTGTAATAATCCAAAGTTTATTATGTAATACAAATAGCCAGACTTATTCTTAAAACTGAGACCATAGATACAGCAAAATCGATATCAATTCACACTGGGAAATGCGCTGACACTTTACGACAACTCCCAACTATTCCAAAGTTACATCTTCTGTGTGTTTGTAACTCCGCCTCCTCTTGTCACACCCCTCCCGCATATCCCCTCTCCCCTTTTCTTCTCTGGGTGGGGTAAAGGTCTGTAGGTAACTACCAGCTGCCCTCTGCCACCTTGAGTTCTTCTGTCCACGTAATGTTCTCCATTGCTTTCCTCCTAGCACAAGAACACTGGTGACCTCCAGAGCCATACTGTAAAATGACTTGCATTTACACAGCGCCTTTCATGCAGGTTAGCGTCTCGGAGTGCTTTGCTGTATGGCGGTAGGCTGGGATGGGACACCAAGGAAGGGGAGAGAGGAAAAGGATTTGGTGAGGAAACGTGATCAGCTCACAATGCTCAGAGCGGAGCCGCTGGTCAGTGTCAGGATGTGCTAACTCCGGGACATTTAAACCTTTAAATCCCTGAAATCATTTACTTACTCGAGAGTGATCGCAGTGTCCATTTCATGGCCGCGTCCCAAAGCAAAGCAAAAAAGGGGCAGCGTTTGCCTTTTGCTCTGTCGAAGCTGGTTTGTTCCATTTTTCCTGGTTAAGATCAGGTTCTGTTCTCTAACCGGACTTTTTAAAACCCATAAACCAATCGCTGCTATTTTGCCTGTGATACAGCCAGCAAGCTGGAGGGAGAGAGTGGATACGTTACATCACAGTAAACCTCACATAAGTCACAACTTATGTGACTTGTGCAAAGTACGAGTTATATCAAATGTGCAGAGAATATGAACTCTTATCATGTCTTCGAGACGTCTCAAAGTGCTTCATAAAATATGCTGTAAAGACCATCACAAAATATACTGTAGGAATCCTGTAGTTTAGTGGTTAGAGCACTCGCCTTGCAAGCGAGAAGTCCTGGGTTCAGTTCCTGGCAGGGTGAAACGATGGGCAAGTTCCTTATTCTGCACACTTATGTAGCAGTAAGTAAGAACCTGGTTGTCAGACGATTTGCGGATCGCTTTTCCGGGGGTAATAATTTAACAAAAATAGTAATTTGGCCACTCAGTCGATGACTGTTTATGGAAAACTGCCATGTTCAATTGGCTGCTGAGTTTTGCCCTCAAAATATACAGTCAATTCACTTTACAGTATATTCTGTGAAGCGTTTTGAGACGTCTAGAAGACGTGGAAAGCGCTGTATCAAATGCAAGTATTATTATTCTGTGACGTGCTTTTGAGACGTCTCAAATGATGTGAAAAGCGCTATATCAAATGATAAGGGATTATATCAAATGCGAGGATTATTATACAATGTATAATAATAATCTCTTGAACGGCAGGACATTAAACGATTTATACAGAGCAGACTTAGGTGAGTTTTACTGTATCAGTGAGAGTAGGTACTGACCCTGAGATGGAGAATGATCCTGAGCTGCTCTCACAGGTCACCTCGTGGCTGGATGTGGAATAGCATTCATCCTTCACAAGGGAGTAAGCGGAAAGATGACATGAGGAATTGGCTCATTTTTTGAAAGGAAAATATTTACCTCTAAAGCTTCCATTTCCTTTAAAATACCTTTAATGTGATTGGATGGAGCAATGGATTTGACTGACCGCAAGTTAAAATCATGCTTTTTTAATCAAAAATATTTCACGCCACAGTAAACACCTCCTCAACTTGACTGGACCAAGTTAACAGTATGAATAACGTTTGCATTTAATACACGACCTGTAACAGTGGAAGGTCTGGGAGTACTTGGCTGACAACTACTGTCAAATGTAGTGACTGTGTGAACAGTATTGGCCTTTAACTTGCATCACTTTAGGACAACGCTGGGAATGTAAGACTGTGTGCAACCCGAGACTCTGCACTATATATCCCAATACTCTGGACGGTGTGTCCAAGTTAATAATAATAATAACCCTTGCATTTGATATAGCGCTTTTCACATCTTTTAGACGTTTCAAAGTGCTTCACAGAATATGCTGTAAAGTGAATTGACCGTATATTTGTGAGCGAAGTTTCATGTCTAACTCGTTTTTTTATATAATAATAAAATAATGAGTTTGGGGTGTGGGGGTGGGGGAAGAAGAAGTAAATTTTAGTATTTTAAAGATGTGTTAAGTCGATGGCGGATTGCTTTTTCAGGCGTAATAATCACTTCCAAAAAAAACCCAATAATTTGGTCACTCAATCCACAACTGTTTGTGGGAGACTGCTTGTGTGCAATTGGCTGCCGGGTTTTGCCCACAAAATATATAGTCAGTTCATTTCACAGTATAACCTGTGAGGTTCTTTGAGAAGTCCCGAAAACGTGATAAGGCGCGATATCAAATGCAAGGATTGGTAACCTTACTTGAATTTGGGAGGGTACGGGGGGTAGTTTTGGTTACATTTCATTGCAGGAGGCTGGTACCGAATGTAACACTGTCTCCCTCCTCACTCCCACCCTCTAGGGTCAGTGCACCTCTCTTTCCCCCCCACCCCGATCTCTGTCCCTGATTATTTGTCAACCGGTAACTCCTCCACCTCCTGCAGTGTATAGTCCAGGATAGTATCATGTCCCTGGAATTTGAAGTAACCTTGGAATTTCTTCTTCTGGAGCAACAGCGGGAACCAGTAGATATCGTCCGGCCACATCCGGTCAAATGGGATGGCATCCAGGTCAAACCACTGTGGCCGCATCTCTGAGGGAGAGAGAGAGAGAGAGAGCAGGGATGAACGATTCCCATTTGACACAGCAAACCGGAGCAAATGACACATGATGTGGTGAAAGGTAATGAGTTTTTTACTCTTCTCCCCTCTTCCCACACCCCCCCTGACCTGAGTTGGGAAAGCCTTGGCTTGGTGTGAAACTGAGACAACGAGAAGAGCAAATGTGACTGAAAGGATTGCCAACACAGGCACGACAAGTCGAATGGCTCTTTTCCTCCTGTGCTGTAAATGTCTATGGTTGCAATGTGTGAATGTAGGCTGTGTCCGTTACTTACCCTCGGATTCGGACGGTTCTCCGTGGTAATGGTCCGTGCGGAATATGTGAACGTCCAGGATCTCGGTCTCCCCGACAAACTCGAACCGGATGTTTCCGATTTTTTCCAGGCTGTCCACGGTCAGGCTGCTCTCCTCCCATAATTCCCTAAGGAAGGAGATGGTTTTCATAGGTTCATAGACAGTCAAGATCATAGAGCGAGCACACAGATTTGAGATGATTGGCAAAAGATCCATAGGGGAGATGAGAAGATTTTTTTTACGCAGCGAGTTGTTAACGATCTGGAATGCACCTCCTAAAATGGTGGTGGAAGCAGATTCCATAATAACTTTCAAAAGGGAATTAGATGGATGCTTGAAAATAAAACAAGTCACAAGGCTATGGGGAAAGAGTGGGGAGTACAGATGGTCACCTCTTGGCGGCTTGCTCGATGCTCTCTCCAGGCTGCAATTTGCCTCCGAACCCGTTCCACCGTCCGACCCCAAAGCCACGTTTCTTCAAGCCCAGGAGAACCTGCTGCGGTTTAACCACTATCACCAGAGTCAGCAGCTTGGAGGTGAACATCTCTGTCGGCATCAGTGTTTACCCCTTTACCCAGACTCCTACCCAAACAAGGGAGGTCACACACTACTGCAGTAGTGAAGCACAGTCACCACACTTTACAATAGAAGCCCCTGAAGCTCTTTTGAGATGTTTTGACGTAAGGCGATGTATTTGACTTGACTCTTCGGGGTTGGGGGGGGGGGGGGGGGGGAGCGTTTAGGGTTTTCTCTCTTAAGAAGTTACTCCACAACGAGTCTGAGCGGCGGGATCCCCCACAACACACGCAGGCAAACTCACTTTAAAGTATAACCTGCGAAGCGTCTCAACAACACGATAAGGTGCCTTATAACAATAATAATAATAATAATCCTTGCGTTTGATATAGTGCCTTAAGCGGCAGCCAATTGCGCTCGGCAGTGTCCCGCAAACCCTCGCGGACTGACGCGCCCCGAAACGTTGGAGCTCTCTCCCTCGATCCCTCCGTCTCGCACCCCCACCCCTACCCCCCCTCTCAAACCCCTTCTTTTTTTGACGGTGCTTTCGGTCGCCTCCGCACCCCCCCACCCCGCTATTATTATTATTAATAATAATTATTATTGTTATTATAAGTAAAAGAGGAAAAAATGATGGCGATGGGGTGGGGGTGGGGTGGGGTGGAGGTGGGGGGGGGGGGGAAAGGTTATTATTTCTCCCAATGAATCGATGGTGAAACCAGAATCAGTTGTATCAGAAGTGTATCCCCTCTGCGGTGGTTTGTGAATGAAAGCTGCGCGACCCCTCTCCGCGGGTTTCGGCTACAAATCCTTTTCCCATTCACAAAAGACTCGCTCCTCCGCACTGCGAACCCGGGGCCCGATTTTGCGCCGGAGATCAGCGAACCAACTCGCGGATCGAATCAGGAAGAGGGGAGTCGCACTCAACCCCACATCACCCGGAAGAAAACGCAGGGTAAAGGGGGGAGAGGAGGGTGGGGGAGAGCAGGGTGGGGGGGGGGGGAGAGCAGGGTGGGGGGGGAGAGAGGAGGGTGGTGGGGGGGGGGGGAGAGGAGGGTGGGGGGGGGGAGAGAGGGGGGGGGAGAGGAGGGTGGTGGGGGGGGGGGAGAGGAGGGTGGGGGGGGAGGGGGGGAGAGGAGGGGTGGGGGGGGGGGGGGAGAGGAGGGTGGGGGGGGGGGGAGAGGAGGGTGGTGGGGTGGGGGGGGAGAGGAGGGTGGTGGGGGGGGGGGGAGAGGAGGGTGGTGGGGGGGGGGGAGAGGAGGGGGGGGAGAGGGGGGGAGAGGAGGGTGGGGGGGTGGGGGGAGAGGAGGGTGGTGGGGAGACAACAGTCGGATAATGTTTAATGGATAGAAAATCCCATTTGTAGTTCAGCCACAGGTGTCGTTGTAAGTTGTAGGAGTTGTTGTTTGCGAAGAGATTGGATTTCAACTTCATCCTTTCCCCCCGAAAATGATTCAGGAGGTTTGAGGAGGTGACATTGTAATCAGTAGATATTACAACCCCCCCCCCCCCCCCAACACACATACACATACACACACACACACACATACACACCCCACTTTGGCTGAAATGGACTCAAATGAATCAAGTGATGAATGGATGAATTCATTCATTCATCATTTGATTCATTGACGGGTTAATCGGATCGATGGTTGTGATCCGGTTGACGCTGCGGGGCTGCCGGTAACTGTGATCGTTGACGTTTGGAGAGAGTTCGGGGTGAGCGGGTGAAACCCAGAATCTTTTTCTTTCATATCATCTTTTTGTTTAAAAGAGTGGATTATGAGGCAGATACTTTTGAGACGACTCATTCCGCGTGTCTCCGCCACCGCTTGATTGCTGAGGTTGCAAAGATCACTCTTAATTAGAGATTGAAACTGTGTGTATATATATATATAAGACGTTAGTTACTGTTAACCTTTCTTTGCCTTGCCAATGCTGTGGTACCAAGAAATGTTAAGAACTTACACCCATGGAGAGTCGCTGTTGAGCACCTCCTGCAGTCAATTCTCTAATAGTAATGATCCTCGCATTTGATATTTGATCCTTGCACTTCAAGACGTATCAAAGCCCTTCACAGAATATACTGTAAAGTATATTTTGTGGACGAAACGCGGTAGACAATTGCGCGCAGCAGTGTCCCACAAATAGTCGTGGATTCAGTGACCATATTATTATTTTTTAATTTATTTTTTATTTATATTTCCATATATCTTTTATTTATATTTTATATAATTTGTATTTATATATTAAACACCTTTATTTAAAATAAATCTTTCTTTAAATTTTTTTTAAACTGTTGTGTGTTTATCCTCCCATTATCTGTGAGACAGACACCATGATCTCGAGGGCGAGTTGCCGCCTGTTCCACTCGACAGTGACATGCCTCAGAAAGACACCGGCGGAGAAGAGGTGGGTGGCCCGGCAGCTGAGAGACCCTTTTGTGAAGGCTGCTCAGCGGGAAAACTACCGGTGTCGCAGCGCGTTCAAACTGCTGGAGATCAATGAGAAGCACAAGTTCCTGCGGCCTGGTGTCAAGGTGGTCGACTGCGGGGCAGCCCCAGGGGCCTGGAGCCAGGTTGCTGTTCACCAAGTCAATGCCACGGGTGCCAGTAAGTGGAGAACTCACTGTATTTTCTTGGGTGTCTTGATACATGCGGAGACCCATCACCATTGCTTAGGAGCAACCAAACAACGTATGTAATTGTAAGCTGTCTTCCACAACACCCTCTCCTGTTTAAAACCTCCCTAATCCTTTTCCTTCCCCCAATTGCATGGTGCGAAACCTTCCCCTTGTTTTTCTCTCTCTCCTTCACCCTTTTAAGGTTTTGTATTATAATAATATCAATAATAATCTTTACATTTGATACAGCGTCTTATCACATTGTTGAGACGTCTTAAAGCGTTTCACAGAATATAGTGTAAAGTGCAGTGATTGTGTATTTTATAGGCCCACAATCTCTCTGCAGTCTCCAGAGAGGAAGAAACCAGACCAGAGTTCTGCTATTGTATCTCCTAATCCCAACAGATAGCAGTTCCTGAATAATAATAATCCTTGCATTTGATATAACGCCTTATCACGTCTTCGACGTCTCAGAGCGCTTCACAGAATATACTGTAAAGTGAATTGACTGTATATTTTGTGGGCGAAACGCGGCAGCCAATTGGGCACAGCAGCGTCCCACAAAGAGTCATGGATTGAGTGACCAAATCATTAACGTACGTACACAGTGGTTGGTGTTTATTTCTAAAAAGGAAATCTTTTTGTCTCCCTCTAGACCCAGAGGCTCCGGTTGGCTTTGTGGTGGGAGTGGATCTTTTGCACATCTCCCCGCTGCCTGGAGCTGCGTTCCTGTCGCGCTCCGACATCCTGGAGCCTGACGTCCAAGCCAGAATCCAGCGGCTGCTCCTGGGGGGCGAAGCGCACGTTATCGTGAGTGACATGGCGCCTAATGCCAGCGGGATCCGGGAGCTGGACCAGGAGAGGCTGGTCGAGCTGTGCCGGGGGGTCCTATGCTTGGCCGAGAAGGTCCTGTGTGCCGGGGGGACGCTGCTCTGCAAATTCTGGGACGGGGCCGAGAGTAACCTGCTCCGAAACCGACTCACCGAGGCCTTCAGGGACGTCAAAACCGTCAAACCCCTGGCCAGCAGGAAGGAGTCGTCGGAGATCTACTTATTGGCAAAACACTACTACAAGCACTGAGCATCCAGAGCAGACCAGGCAATGGTGGGAATAATCTCTCTCCCCCCCAAAAAATAATCATTATTATTATAATATGAACTCTTCTGAAAAGCGCGAAGGAGGGAGCGTTTATACTGAAGATAAAACCGCTGCCGGAAACCTGTACAATGGATGAAAGAAAGGTTTCAGGAGCTCAGTGCATTTTGTATTCTCTTCTGTACACGTTAAGGCCTGGTTCAGAGCCAGAAAAGTTACCCGCTAGTGTGAAAATGAACTGTATGGACCCAGAGGATCTGTGCTAACACCACTGGTTTCAGTTGGACTGATGGTTATCATTTCTATACACATATTTATATATAACATACATGTATTTTATATACTAATAAAACCACAATGTCTGTCTGTGCTTCAAGAATCTCAATAATTGATTGACATAGAAATATGATTTATACCTCATCAGAAAGGTCTTGCACCTGGGAGTGACGTGGTGCTTGAGGTCCTTACACCTGGTGGCGGGTGGGCCTTCAGCCACTCTGCTCCTACCTCCTATCCCACAGTCCCTCCTCCTCGCCCCCTCTGTTGCCTCCTTCAAGACCTGTCTTAAGACCCTCTTCTTCGACTGTGCCTTCAATCGCCCTTGTTCCCCCCCTGACCCCCCACCCTCCCCAATGCCCATCCCCGGTTCGGGTCTGAAACACTGACTGTCCAGCGCTTTGGGACGTCCTTCCGACGTGAAAAGCGCTATACAAATGTAATTATGCGGTTTTAACTGGTTAGACTCCAGCGATCACCCCGAAGCACACCGAGGACCCAAGCCTTGTTTTATTTTCCCCCAACCTGCGCTCAATACTTTCCGGAATTAGATAAACAGGATGCGTTCCCCCCCCCCCCCCCGGCCCACCACCCAGGGATTCCATCGCAACAAATTTCTCTGGAATCGCCGTGCGGAGGTGGGAATGCGTGGAATTCTCAATTTGGTTTGGAGACTCTTAGGCAACAGGTAACGGGTTTCCGCGTGTGTCAAGACACCCCCGGGGGCTGGGCAAAATAAACGGTGGATGATGGAAGCCACCATTAGGAGGAGGTGGGTGGAATCCCCACCTTTGGAAGGATTACGGTGATTAAAAAAAGTGACGGCGCCTCTATTAGGAGGATTACGGCGGTGTGTGGATGGGTCAGGCAATGGGGGGGCGGAGCTTCTCCGAGCTGCGCGGTCGGAGCTGCGCGAGGGTGGGCGGGGCCGGGATCTGGAGGGAGATCTCGCGAGAGCTGGAGCCGGGCTGGAGGGAGATCCAAGCGCCGCGGAGCGAGCGAGTGAGCGCGCGGGGCGGTCGTCAGCGCAGCCCCCGGACCCCCTCACCTCATCTCACCCCTCTTGTAGCCACGTCTCCCCCGCCGCTCCTTCCTCCTCTTCTCTCCCCTCACCACTCCGCTCCCTCCTGCAGGTGAATATAAATAAAATCCCCTCAGGCCTCCGGGGCTGCTTCTCCGGCTTGAGGAGCGAGAACATTCCAGGCGGTCGGTCGGTTGGTCGGTCGGTCGGTCAGCGTGTGTCAGTCAGTCAGTGCGCGTGCGCGCGGGTTAACGGTCGCTGCTCGCGCAGAGAGCTCGGCTGTCAGCGACCCCCCCCACCCCCGGCCACCCCCCCTCAGGGGCAGGGGCAGCGACCACCCCCCTCCCAGGGGCAGCGACCACCCCCCCCCTCCCAGGGGCAGCGACCACCCCCCCCCTCCCACCAGCCCCTCCCAGGAGCAGCGACCACCCCCCCCTCCCAGGGGCAGCGACCACCCCCCCCCACCCCCGGCCCCTCCCCCCACTCCCAGGGGCAACGACCACCCCCCCTCCCAGGGGCAGCGATCACCCCCCCCCACCCTCCCAGGGGCACGACCACCCCCCCCCCCCAGGGCAGCGACCACCCCCCACTCCCAGGGGCAACGACCACCCCCCCTCCCAGGGGCAGCGACCACCCCCCCCCCCTCCCAGGGGCAACGACCACCCCCCCACCCTCCCAGGGGCAACGACCACCCCCCCACCCTCCCAGGGGCAACAACCCCCCCCCTCCCGGGGCAGGGACCTCTAGGGACAGGGTATGGGACTCCTCCCCCTTCGCCCCCCTCTCCCTGTGGGTGGGTGGGGGGTGTCAAGCCCCCCCCAAAATCAGGGCTTTGTAATTTGCACCAATGCTGTGCTGGGGGGGGGGGAGAGCCTCCGCTGCATTGTTGGAGGTGCCGTCCTTCAGATGAGACGTCGAAGTACGGTGGTGTTCAGGTGGATGTTTACCTAAAAAAAAATCCAGCGGTGCCGTTGGCAACGAGAAGGGAGTTTCTCCCCCCGTGTGCCGGTCGATAATCGCCTCCGTCCACCCCCCCCCCCCCACCCCCCACGAAACAAAATCGGTAATTCTCTTTGCGGCTGTCTGTGGGATATTGCTTTGTGCGAGTGAGCTGCCGAGTTTGCCTACAAAATACAGTCGCTACGCTTCACATTCGGATCCCGTGACGTGCTCTGAGACACTTAGATGATGGGATGATAGTAGGACACTTGTACTGAATGCAAGGATTGTTATTAGAGAGATCCAGACACACCTCTCACAGGATGCATTTAACCCACTGAGTTGTACAGCAAGTTCCCAAAAAGAGAATTCATGCCACTCTTTGAGACGTCTCAAAGCGCTTCACGGATGTGCAGTAATATGGAAACATTATACAGTATATAATATACAGTATATGTGAATTGACTGTATAATCTATGGGCGAAGGATACATAAATTGTCTGTAGTCTTACACTTGAGACAGATTTTTGTTGTCAAAAAGTGTTGCACGGGTTTTGCATGAATCCTGTGTCCTGCCATTCCATGGAATGACCTATTTCGATTGTCACTGGGCCACCCACCATTTTGCACGTAGCTGTGACATTTCCTTATTAAAAAATGTTTTCCCTCTTTGACTGTTTCAGGGTCGAAGACGGAAGAATGGATGACCTGGACGATAACACCACTGTCTTCTCAACTTTACGTTCATTCAACAACTTTTTGTCGCAGGCGTCAACATCTACGTCAAACGTGACTGAGCCCAGCTCCATCCCAAATATGTGGCAGTTACAGTACCAGCAGAAAATGCAGGTCAGTCAGAATGTGGTCCTTATTAGTGCCTGAAAAAAGAATATTACTGGAGAGAGAGGGAATGTATGTGCCTTCCCACCTCCTAATGGTTTAAACTTTTTTTTCTGGGGAAGAACAACAATAATAAATTACATTTGTATAGCTCCTTTCACATCGAGAGGGCGTCAGGGATTTGGACCCGAGCAGGGAGTTTAGATCAGGAGGGCGGGAGGGTAGGGGTAAGCGGGTGGCTGAAGGTGTGGTTGAAGAGGAGGGTTCTTGAGATGTACCTTGAAGGAGGCAAGGGAGGCAGCAAGGACAGCAAGTGACTGGGATGGAGTTCCAAAAGCTGAGGGACAGAGAAGCTGAAGGCTCGACCGCTGGGGAAGAAATCACTCTTGTTGCTTCTCTAAATTGACATTACATTGGAGTAACTGGTGAAGTGTTGCATTGTCGGAGAAGCCACATTTTTGCCCCATTATAGACTCTGGTTAGGATTTTATGGAATTTAGTATAGAGCTATAATAGGACCCCGCTATACAGCAAACTCTGATAACTTGACCCTGGCTTAACTTGTCACTAACACTTAAGTTGCCATCCTGTCAGTATCCCGGCTCCTTCCATTACAGAATGTTAATAAAGGACTCTTTCACGCTCCGGGTAGGGTTCCGGAGCGCTTTACTCGTCACTCTGCTTATTACGTAACTAGTCACATTCTAAAAATTCTTGTAAGTGCTTACAAAGTAAAATTGATCAGATAACTTGTCCTATCAGATGGGGGCTTGCATCGCGGAGGCCTCCCGCCTATTCTATGACTGCTATAGGCGCTCGGCAGAGGTTGGGTGTACATGCTCAGAAGCATTGCAGAGCTTTCTGGTTTATTGGAGGGCTGTATCATGGCCTCCTGCTGTATCCTGTCACAAGTGTGGCCCTCCAATAGACCAGAGGCCGCTGCAGTTCATCCAAGCATGTACGCCCAACCTCTGCCGAGCGCGGCACTGATTGAAAACAACCTTCTGTCTGTGCAGCACAAATATAATATGGCGTCTGTATGCATACTCCAGTTGCCGTTTCCCGGCCTCTGGCTGAACTTCAGCCTAGAACTGAGGACGTTTGGCAGATCCATGCGGCAAGTGACAAAGACTTGCAGATTTTATTGGGACAAGCCTTAGCCCTCTTGTGCATTGATGTATCACCTGAGGGCCTCATGACTAATGATGATCTCCAGAAACTACAAATATACAAGGCAGTAGCACATAAATAGTATTTGAATACAATAGCTGTCTCTTCCTTTTTATTGCAAACTCAATGATGCATTCCTTTTGCCAGTGGTTTTCATCTCACTGGCTGAATTTTGCTTTTTTTGTAAAAGTTGCAACTTCAAAAGATTTTTATTTTTAAAATAAAGTATAAAACATTGCATTTTGTGCTGGTTTTACCTACCTTTAATGAGCTGCACGCGTTTAGAACACATGTCAAGTAAACCATTTATTATTATTTATTATTATTGTCATTTCAGATAGTTGCCTAATAATCTCTAAATATAAACAATATTATCTAGGATAAGATAAAGTTGCTACAATCCACCTACAGAAAACTTTCTTGGATACAAGTATGTCTTTGAAAGTGTTATGCCATTAGATGTGCTTTGGTTTGGTGGACTAACAGTCGTTATTATCGTGCTTTTTATTTAATTTTTCCTTTTCTCTTGTCTAAAAGAAAAGTAGGCCTCTTTTAAATTGTCTAAAGAAAAAATCAATTTTGTGTATTTCTCAGGCAGAAGAGCAGGCAGAGGATGTTCGCTCCAAAACCCGTGTCCTAGAGGTTGAACGGGAGAAGCAGAAGATAGAGCTCAGTCATAAACGTGCCAGGATTGAGTTGGAGAAGGCAGCACAGACCAGTTCCTGGAACTACGAGGTATGAAGCAAGAGTGTACACCACATGCCTCTTACGAATGGTGTTTATTCTTGATTGATTGCTGTAAATGTATGTATGTATGACTTACCACTATCAACTATTCCACTCTCTGCTGCTGGAGAAATGCTGTACTGTTATTTCATGTATGTAGTGGTGGTTATGAGTGGGTGTGAACTATCATTTCTCGTCCCAACAATTTGAGCCGCAAAGCCACTGGTTTAACTTTTTAACTTTATTTCATTATGAGCGGAGGTTGTTACGGGGGAAATTGGCAGTAGCTTAGGAACAGTGTATATGCTTGGCTTCTTAGCTCCGTGCATCAGCTAGGCAGAGAAAATAAATGGAGATGCAAATGCACAGTTGGTGGAAGCTGTCAGGAATGTGCCCTTGTGTCAGAACTATTCGTGTTTTTAGAAGATGTAAAAGACTTCAGATTCCCTCACTGTTGCTGTCAAATTAAAGCAGATTAGAATTTCTATGAGTTCTCTTTTTTTAATGATCTGCCTGAGGTGAAACAATTAATATTCAATGCTGCTGTCTTAAAGTTACTTATGAAACATTAATCCGGAGTTCGATGTGAAATCTTTTCTTTAAATTATTTTAATACTTAGTTGAACTTTTTTCATTCTTCTGCCTTGCAACAAAAATATGGAATTTTCTTTCATGGTCAGCAAATGATCACCAAGGTTATTTTACAGGAGAATTTTTATATTGTAGCCTTGAACGTCTTTTTATCAATGTTTTACAGTCTTTCATTTAAGTACTGATTGGACACTTTTTTAAAAATAGCGGGAGGCAGATCGGAACCAGGAATTAATGGTTCAGGTGAAGCAAATACAGGAAAAGGAGGCAGAGACTCAGGAAAAACTCAAGGAACAGGTTGAGATGAATAAAACATTGAAGAAGAACATGGAGCTTCAGAACAAGAAACTTCAAGAGACTGAAGAGAAACTTGCTGAATCCAATCAGGTAATGAGCAATGAGGAACTTTCTGCAACAAGTCTCGCTTGTATTTCAAACTTTAGAAAACTAATTGCTAAGCGTCATCTCCATTTTGAGATTTTTAGTTTTATGTCATTTACTCCAGCTGTTCTGTGACTGTTGGGAGTTTGAGAGATCGCTTTAGTATTCCAATTTACCTGGGGAGGGGGAAATACATGGATTGTTCCTCTTGACTCTGCATAGTAGTAGAGCTGAGGTCAGGAATTGCAGACAACAAACCTATATCTGGGTGCTTTGGATTGTTCAGAGGATATTATTTTTGCCACTTTTCGTCTCATTGCGCCTGAAATCTGTGACTTACTGGGTTAGGTCAAGGAGGCCAGCAGCCCACTGGCATTTGGCCGTTTTGGCCATTCTTCAAGTGTGCAAAATTAGTTTTGACAGTTTACTGAATAATGGAGGACAGCTTAGCCAAGCATATTCCTGTTCTCAACTGATATCTACATCTGCGCATTCATATGGGGGAAGTCAACAAGTAGTGATTGGAGCAGGAGCTGTGGCTGATTTCTTTACCCCCCAGCTTCCCAGGGCTAGGATGCTATAATTAATTACAGTCCTAACCATTCCCCTGGACTGATCAGATATGTTTATATGGGTGGTTGGAAAGTGGTTTTGATTGTGTTGATTGATGTCTGGTCGCAGGATGATTATTAAAAAGAAGGATTAATTGTTGCATGAGTGATGGAAAGACAGTATTCTGCGTTGTAAGCTTTGCTTTTTGGAAGCAATTGAAATATTCACGTTTGCTTGGGTTAACAAATGTGTGATTCCATTTGCAGTTAATATAGCAGTTTCTAAATGTAAGGGATCTTATGTGGCCAAAGTCCGTGGTGTTAGCACGCATCAATAAATGGGCCAACTGGGAGCTGCCAAAAGAATAAATTCTACCAGTTTGATTGAGGCCTGTGATCTGCAGGAAATTCCATGTCTCTTTTCTACCACAAGAGGGATCTCTTCTGTTTATATGTCTCACTGAGGACCGCTGGTGGTCACAACCCAGTATTACAACGTCCGACCCAGACTTTAAAAAGTGTTGTCTTCTCACTCCCTTCTCCTCTGAAAATATTTGATTCCCTTTATTTCTTTCCAGTGGGGTTTTAATTCCGCAGGAGCCGGCATCTCATCCAAGTACAATAGCTATCTTTCACGTGTGAGCTTCGGGAGCAAATGCTTTTGAAATATTTGAGATTGAAAAACATTGTAGTACGGTTTGAAGTACAAAATATTTCAAAGGGAAATACTAAACAAATTGCATAATAGTTCATATGGTCTTGCATAAAGTTCAGAAGTTTTATTTTAGGTTTTGCTTTCAGTATCCACTCATGTTAATTGATGTAAAGCCTATATTTTTTTAACTGGAGTGTTTTATAATTCAGACAATCGATGTCCTAAAGGCCAACGTTTCTGAGCTGCAGTGGAAGTCAATGAGTCAGGAGATGCAGTTGACAACTTCAACTACAGAGCGTCAGGAGCTACTTGAGCAAGTGGAAATACAGCGCAAGTACGTCCAAAAAAAAAAAGCCCTCTTCTTTGACATTTTTGCCACATCAGACTTGAAACCCCTAAAGCTTATGCTTTCATCCCAGCATTTCCGTCACTTCTCCTTTGATTTTTCTTTTCAAAAGAGTACATGATGTGATTTGAAAGATTTTGAAATGAGGGAGGAAAATGCACAAATTGGTCCCCCCGACGTGAAAAGCGCTATATCAAATGCAAGGATTATTATTATTATTATTTAAAAACATCTTATTTTTTGCTTCCCAACTGCTCTCTTTTTCTGACAGTAATGCTCCGGGACGCTACCCCGTTTGAAGGGTGCTATATAAATGCAAGTTGTTGTTGTTGGTGGTAATGGCCCTTGCTGGCAGTATTTCTAATTGTAGTGCTCTTGCCAATGCCGTGCTGAGCTCAACTTTCTCAGCATAAACCAGTCCCAGAATTTAAAGGTGATCTTTAAAATACTATTACAGCTAAATAAAAGAGATGCGTGTTGGATTAGTTTATTCAATAAAGAGAGAACATTTGTAAATTTTGTATAATTTTTTCTTAATTCGTGTTTCTCACATTCTGTTATACCTGGCAGGATGGGCCAAATGTGTCTCTTTCTACTTTTACAAAAAACTGTGACTCTTTGCCAAGTTTATTACTGCTGTGATTCCTTTGGATCATGTCTCCCATGTGTATTCATTTTTGTAGCATAAGTGATTGTTAACTTTCCCACCTCATTGCCATACTTATTTTAACAAGACTGTCATTTTTCTTCCCCTATGCAGAAAGTGGCAGGAGGCTGTGCAGAAGGCACATGACATGGAAACAGCTCAGGCAGTCAGTGTAGAGAATGAGCAAAGAATCAAGGTAAGGAAAAAAAGTTGCTTTAAACTACCCTATCATTCTATCACAATCGACATGAGTGGTAGACTGACTTTGTCAATAAGTTGGTTAAACTCACTGATATGGAAGCAAAAATCTCCTTCACATTTGTTTTTGTGCATGATGGACTGATGAATAGCAATTCTAATAAACAATATTATTTGCATCCAGTTTCAAAAGAGAACAAGAAGGAGTAAACATAGCCAATACTGCCCCAACAAAATTTATCTTAACTCCAGGCTCATTTATATCAAAGCAATTCTTCCTCTGTTGGAATCCTAGTGTGCTATTGCTGTTATTTACATAGAATTACATATCATTTTACACATGAGCCTGCTTACTCCCCTCTCCTATACTCTATCCTCTCCTTATTTCCTGTGACTAAAGCCTTAATTGGGCTGTTAGATGCACCATGTGCACCCTGAAAGTTCTACAGCTTTTGGAAGACAATTATTAATCTTGGTCCACTAATGTTCACTCTACATTAACTTTTTTGATTGAATGAAGAACGAGAGTGATGTTAACCAGGGAAATAAATGGGAAGGGCTAAATCAATAGATGACTGCTCACCATGTGTAAAGGTCAGCCATTTCAGTATTTAAATGTATGGTATATATGAAAATAGCGGAAGAACTAGAATGTACAATGTCTGGTGTCTCATTTGTGTGTGTGTGTGTGTGTATTTCAGGAAGGTATGGAGAACTGGCAATTGAGCTATGTTTATAAATGAGCTACATTTTTTCGACCTGGCTGTTTATGTCCCTTTAGTACTTTGTATAAAAGGTTTCAATTCCCTAATTATGAAGGAGGCCAATGGGTAATTATACTCCGTGATTTTGGAAACACTGAGCTGCAGCATAACATTTTGTTGCTATAATTATTCATCTCTAGTGAGGCTTGAAACGATTCACTAAAACATCCTGTCTGTGTGTTCATTTAACTATGATGGATAACGGACAGATCTAATTTATCTTGGTAGATGAAATTAGCCATTGCAAAAAAAAGGTGAAAAATTTAAATATGCTTATTGGGAATTAAGGGGGAAAACATTCTTGCGCTGATTCAGCTGATCTGACCTGGGTGTCAAGATGTTGAAATCGGCCTCAGTGCCTCATGTTAGGCGAAAAGGAAAATAGGTTCTTAATCAGATTGCTATCTAGTGTTTTTTTATTGGAATTGTTAGAATTGCTAGATGGACTTTGAGCAATGACAGGAATGAGCTTAATTGTTGCACATCTACTAATCAAACAACAACAACAAAATTATATTTATAGAGCGCATTTCATGTTGGGAGGATGTCCCAAAGTGCTGGACAGTCAGGGGTCGGGACCTGAGCATGGGGGAGGGGTGGCATAGGGGTTAGGGAAGGCAGAGAGGTGGGAGGGCGACCGAAGGCATGATTGAAGAGAAGGTTCTTGAGACCGGCCTTGAAGGAGGCAAGGGAGGAAGCGAGGCGAAGGGACTGTGGGATGGAGGTCCAGAATGTGGGGGCAGGGAGACTGAAAGCCTGGCCACCAATGGTAGGACAGGTCGGGCGGGAGACATGGAGCAGACCGGAGCCTGCTGAACGGAGGGAGCGGGCTGGTTGGGAGGGAGTCAGCAGGTCAGAGAGGTAGGAGGGGGAAAAGCCATGGATGGCCTTGAAAGCGAGGGTGAGGATCTTGAATTCCTTCCTCTGAGGGATGGGGAGCCAGTGGAGATGGGCGAGGGTGGGAATGATGGGGTCATGGAGCCTGGTGCGCAAGAGTACACGAGTGCAGAGTTTTGGATGATCTGCAGCTTGTGGAGGGAAGAGTTGGAAAGGTCGATGAGGGAGTTTCTGTAATCAAGCCTTGATAGGATGAATGCATGGGTGAGGGTTTCGGCAGTCTGAGGGGTGAGGCAGTGGCGGAGTCTGGCAATGTTGCAAAGATGATGGTAGGCAGTACCGGTCATAGCGCGGATGTGGAGGAGAAAGCTCAGTTCAGGGTTAAACAAGACACCCAGGTTTCTTGACTGGCTTTGTTAGGTTGAGTGTGCAGCCGTGGAGGTGCAAGGTGTGGAGGCTCTGGCGTGAGACAGTCAGGAGGTCTTGCTGACGTTGAGGTGGAGAAAGTGATCCCTCGTCCAGGACTTGATGTCGGACAGGCAGTCGGTCAGGACGCCAGTAATCCTGGAGTTGAGGGTGGAGGCAGAGAGGTAAAGTTGGGTGTCATCGGCATACATGCGGAAATTTACCCCATGTCTGCAGTATGGGCAAAATAGCCTGTATGGGCATGCTGAGATTCAACATCATGGTTTCTTTGGTGAGACGATGGGGTATTACTGGTCTTTTTTGGAACTATAAACTTGCTTCTGGAGAACCAAGGTTAAAGGAACAATAAAATGCATTTTTTTTGCATTGTTTGTTTGAAGTGAGCATTCATTTCTTAGCCTAAGCACAAACCAATACCACCCTTTAACCTTTTAATTGCCTTTCTCTACTTTACGTCTTGCTCCTCCATTTCGAATTGAGAAGCATCTATTCTCATCCATTTTAAGTTTTGAACCTGAAACTCAGGTGAACGAGGGTTTTGGTAATACAGCCAATCCTTAAAATAGAGGCCAAGTGCTAAATACTGCTGTATTCAGTTATAAATTTCTGTTTTTTTTTTCATGAATCTTCAGGAACTAGAGAGTAAAATATCTCAGCAGGAGCAGGACTCAATAATTGTGAATAATATGCGATCAGATCTGTCGCGAATCCCCGAGTTTGAGAAAGAGCTCCGACAGCTGAAGGAGGAGAATACCTATTACAGGTGAGGATTCTGGACATTTGAGTAGCCTTTTAGAGTGAAACTGCTCTGTAGGAGGAATGAAGGATGAGATGATGTCTTAATGCTTCAAGCACAAGTGTCTGTTTACCTAGCAGTAAGTCGGAATGAGGTTGGCGAATTGCTTTCCAGGGATAATAATCACTTAAAAACAGAGAAAACGTGGTCACTAAATCCACAACTGTTTGTGGGACGCTGCTGTGTGCAATTGGCTGCCATGTTTCTCCCACAAAATACACAGTCAATCCACTTTACGGTATATTCTGTGAAGTGCTTTGAGATGACTCAATTACGTGATAAGGCGCTATAACAAATACAAGGATTATTATATGTTATTATTAACAGGGAGATGGAGGAGAATAATTTGCTGCTGAAGGAAGAAACCGAGAGCCTTCGGAAGAAGATTGAACGTCTTGAGAAGTTAAAGGAAGAAAAAGTTACTCTGGAGCTCAAGAATGAGGTTTTTGTGAATCACTTACATTTTAAACGTTTATTCTCCCTTAAGATTTTTTTGTTTACATTGCACAATGAGAAAGGCATTGTAGGTGGAGATCACTCAAATTAGTTTTCCCATCATGATGGTCTTTGCTGGTCCTTCAGGGGTAAGGAAAATCTGTATTTCGAAAAGAAAGCAAGGGCTAAGAAAAGTGGTGATTCAAGCTTGCATTCTACTTTTGTTTCGCCCTCCCCGCCACTATTAAGAGCTAATGGTGCACGTGTATTGATTCTGGGAAGTTATCAGTCTAATCTGTCTCACATATTAATACCAAACTGTTGTTGAATCTTCTGATCTTTTCTACTGAGATGAAAAGCCCTGTTCATGTGTTGGTGGGTAATTCAGTGCCTCCTGGCGTAATAACTGAATCGGGAAGCACTAAATAGATTGCTTTCCTTTCAGATAATTGTAATCTGAGGCACAAGGCTGAGTCATTTATGGACATTAGTTTCTCTTCTGTTGCACTTTCCTCCTGAGTTTATGCTCTGAAAAGATTGGAATCTGTTTAATTGTTTCTTAATTGCCCTCTTTCTGCTCTGGAGAAGATTTTCAAGTTGCATAACTTTTTATTTTAGAAATTACTGGCAAAATTAAGAAGTTGGGAGAATGTGGAACAGACATCAGGACTGAATATCAGGTAAGATTCTGCAATATTTTAAAAGAGATACAGAGTAACATTTTACATATTTTTCTCTCATCCTTTCCTCATGGATGTTTACTGCCATACATCCCTCTAGGGTTAAGTGAGGTTGTAAGGACTACACAGTATAATGCTCTATTCCATCTGTCGTGCATATGTGTCAGTAGCTGAGATTAACAACTGTAATGTCTAGTCAACTTAAATTTTAAAGAAATTCTGACTTGCACTAGTTTTCTGCATCTCTGCTATAACAATCAAACAGAAGTAACTTTATGACATTATCTTAGCAACAAGAAGGATCAATTCTGACATTAGACTTGACGGCACAATCATTTGCGACTACTTGTTCTATCCAGTTTTAGAAGATGGTATATCTCCTGAGCATTAAAGCTGCAAGGCTCTAACATAAGTAGAATTTGGAGTACCAATTCCCTGTGTATTATAATTTTTTTGTTTAACGGTTATCATAAACTACGCACAGATTTGTATTAACATTCTCCCAAATGGAAAAATAAAAGCTCTGATTCTGCTTTTAGAGCCAGATAACTCGCATAGTTAGTGCGTTTGGCAGACATGTCAGGAAGGCATGCAGAGGCAGTAAGAGAAGGAGAAGCAGAAGGGACATCTATTATGCAACATCCTGGATACGCTGCTGATGAGATATTAATTCCTCAAAAAAGATTTGGTCACTCAATCTACGGCTGTTTGTGGGACGCTGCTGTGCGCAATTGGCTGCCATGTTTCGCCCACAAATATATAGTCAATTCACTTTACAGTATATTCTGTGAAGCGCTTTGAGACGTCTCAAAGACGTGAAATGCGCTATATCAAATGCAAGGATTATTATTATTGTTTATTCTAGATTATAGCCACCTGGATGTTTTATGAGTGCATGTGGTTAATTTTGGATCAGCATTTTTAATGCTTTGTAAAATACGTTTTTGTGAATAATTTTATATTCAGCCAGAGAAATTCTCCAACTCAGTGGGCTAGTCTGAACTTAAGATGTATCCGGGTGGGGGGTGAAACTGTCAAAAGAGGCTCGTTAATTCATTGGAGTAGACTTGAGATTCAGAACACCTGGAGGAAAGAGAACCAGTTTCTGTTTGATGGATATAGTTAAAGGCTGATATGTGAAAAGTCTGCGTGTGAATATTATGAACCAACATATTATCCATGCAGGGGCACAGATAGGATTTTGAAGTACTTTCTCACTGGAGGACATCTTTTGACTTACTCTTCACTTGGTATGTGGAAATTATAAACTTGAACTGCTGGAGCCTTTCCTCACTGCATCATATAAACTTCCAGTTCAAAGAGTTTCAGTTCTTAGAAAACTTGGCAGCACTCCCTTATTTATATAGGAACATAGGAATAGGAATAAGTGATTCAGGCCCTCAAATTTTTTTTGTGGGAAAAAGTGAAGTGAAAATATTAGGGTTTGGAGGCAGGACGTTCATTTGAAATCGTTTTTGTTACTGGATTATAATAGTGTTTCCTATTATAAACAGGCATAGAAATGCTTGTTATTTCTAACTAGTTGCCGAGTGATGAACACTCTTGATCACTCTGTATTTTTCCTATAAAAACATTTGCCTTCATCCTTGCCAGTTGGTTAAATGAATGATTGCTTGTATCTGTATTGTGTAGTGGTTGATTTGCTCGCCTCACAAGTGAGAAAAAGTATTTACAATGCATTAAAAATCCAAAATTATTATTTTTTGGGAGGGATTATTACCCCTGGAAAGCAATCCACCAATCAACTAAGAACCGGATTCCTACTTACTGCTAGTAAACAGGCGTGTGGAGTAAGATAAATGAATTGTTGAGCCATACCTTGTAAACCTAATGACTGAATTCCCATCCAGGCATTAGAAGGAAGTGTAGTCAATTCCTGTAAAACATAACTTGGTCAAAAATCAGAATTCCCTCAGCAGATTTTGTGCTGAAATCTTAGTTCAGGTTACATGTTGTGTTTACTAAATTATTACAGCTGTAAAATGATTTGTGATTGGGAAGCTTACTGTAGGACGGAACTATGTTGTGTCTTGTCCTTGCCTGATCTATTGTGCCCTAAACTAGAACAGAACAGTAAAGGGCCTGTTAGGTAAAGGCACCATCTGTGTAGCAGCAGTAACGACAAACACCAGAGTAGTATAGGTTTAATTCTGGGTCTGCTGAGCTGTCTGATCTGACCCTAAACCTAAGAATAAGATCAGGCTTAGCTGCTCCCCACCACCTTAATGGTTTTGTAGTTTACCAGCACTTGGCTGTACGAAGTCGGATCTGAATTTCATAAGAAATTTAGCTAAAGTTTCTGTACTGCTGAATATGATACAGCAGGTGGCAGTGTTGTCATCTTGACACAGAGCTCAGTTTCCTGCCACCCGGTGTAATCACGAAGCTTTGCTCTTGGATTCTACGTAATGGGTTGTATTTTCATCCCTCTTTATTGACTTACAATAATGAAGAGTAGATATAGTGTAATTGACAGGCATGTAAATTGTAGAGTAAAAGTTTCGGTTGTGGGATATCTATTGGCCCCAGACAGCCAAATATATTTTGCAACATTCATAGTTGGTAATTTTTTTTTGTCAGAATAACTACCACAATTAATTGTCTTTACATTTACAGCAGTTCCTACAGAAGAACAAAACTCTTGCATGTTGCCACTGGATTGCTTTCGATTTATATTTCATGGCATTTCACCCACAAATATACAATCAATTCACTTTACAGTATATTCTGTGAAGCACTTTGAGTCGTCTAGAAGATGTGAAAAGCGCTATATCAAATGCAAGGATTATTATTTATAAAAAACGTATTGAACCTTAAATTTAGATTCCACCCTTAAACAGACTAGCACGAGTTTCTTTTAGGCAGATTTTTTAATTATAAAATCTTGTTTTCTCTCGAGTAGGAATAAAGATGGACATACCAGCAGCATACTTCAACCGTTATATTATCCCTCAGGAATTCAGCCTTGAGTCTGATGGATGATATGTAATGGATAAATAGTAAAATCGCAATGAGATTGTAACCTATTGCAAAGACTGATGGATGATGTGTAATAAATGACCAACAATATCCCAATGAGATTTTGCCTAGACCTGAATCTAATGAGCAATATGCTATAGATATCCAACAGTATTATGCTGGGATTATAGCTTTTACGTGAGCCTAATGGATGATATATTTTAGATATTCATGGCTCTCCCGAAAGAGTTAGTGCCTTTACCTAAGCCGCAAGGAGGACGATCTGTTAAATATCAGATTTTTTTCACGTTTTCTCCATTGTGTTGTACACCATTCAGCTACTCTAAGAACAGGCAGGTGACTTACTTTCAGCATTACTCTGGAGGTACACAGGAGCTGTTCTTGGTAATTAAGCTCTCGTGAGTTTTTGATTGATGGTTTCCTCCTCATGCTGGGGAGTAGCTCTTTGATACCTTACCTAAGAGGCCATTTTCACATAATGAGTCTGAACAATTGGGCTATTTGACTGTGGGGTGGCATTCAGTGTTCTTACTGGATTTCCAAACAGTTGGGCTTCAAGGATCGCTGGATAGTAACTAAGAGTGGGATTTTTATTTGCCCTCTGTGCCTTCTTTCTAGATGATCTTGTTATAGCATGGATTAGGGATTAAACTTGCTATCCTCCATATCTCATTGGCACTCCGTTTGTTTACCAAGTATTTGGAAGAATGCTGATTTTTAGTTTCTCATTTGCTTTTTATTCCCCGTAGAGAAACATTTTGATTCGTATTTACATGTCTTGCGCAGCTGCGATTGTTAACCCAGCAAGTATGTTAGTCACAAAGCTGCACCCTAGTAGACTGAGATATATAGTACCAATATGCTGCTTTACCTTCTTACCAACTTTGTCTCCCCTAATCTTTTCTAGAACGTATTTGATTCCTTTTCCATTTACTTTGATACTGTTCCTTGAGCACCAATCACCACTAGTACTTGCCACTAGTGACCATTATTCACATGTGTCTTGACCATGAGAGTTGTCAAACCCAAACCTAAAAGTCACGTGTTTTACAGTGGGATTTGTTGCTTAACAACAACACCACCACCACCAAGGTACTGGACAGTGTACAGCATTTCAGACCCGAGCTGGGGTCGGAGGGGAAGGGAGGTGACCGATGGGGCATGGTCGAAGAGGAGGGTTTTGAGGCGGGATTTGAAGCAGGCTAAGGAGGGGGTGAGGCAGAGTGATTTGGGGATGGAATTCCAGAGGTTGGGGGCAGAGTGGCTGAAGGTTCTCGCGCCAATAGTGGGGTGGGTGGGTCGGGGGACATGGATCAGGCCGGAGCTGGCTGAGCGGAGGGAGCAGGCGGGTTGGTAGGGGTTTAGGAGTTCGCAGAGGTAGGATGGGGCGAGACCATAGAGGGCTTTGTATGTGAGGACCAAGATCTTGAACTGGATCCTCTGAAGGATAGGGAGCCAGTGGAGTCGGGCGAGAATGGGGGAGATGGGGTCACGGATTTTGGTGCGGGAGAGGACACGGGCTGCATAGTTCTGGATTATCTGCAGCCGATGGAGGGAGGAATTTCGAAGGCCGACAAGCAGGGCGTTTGAATAGTTGACCATGGAGGTGCTGAAGGCATGAACAAGAGTTTCAGCGACCTGAGGGGTGAGGTAGTGGCGGAGTTGGGCGATGTTACGGAGGTGAGGGAAGGCAGAGCGGGTAATGGCTTGGATGTGTGGAAGAAAAGACAGTTGAGGGTCGAACAAGACACCTCGGTTCCTGACTGGCTTGGTGAGTTGTAGTGTGCAACCATGGAGGTTGATGCTGCCAGAGCCTAACAGTAGAGAGTGGAAATCTTGGTTATTTATTTGAATTCCTTATAAGATTGAATTAGGGTGAGTGAATAAAGATGCAAATTCTGCAAAGTTTGTGGAAAGAAGATCGTGTAATGGGCAGACGACTGTATTACCAATAAGTTTAATGTAGTCTAGAACATACGAGGGATGAAATGCCTCTTTGA